AAAACGAAAAACAAACAGATTTGTTCTTTTTAAGTTCCTAATAATTTAAATCTTTTAGTCATTGAAGATTAAATAAATTTTATCAATGTAAAAAATAAAATTAGATAGAACCAAGATTTTAGCGTTCGATGACTGCTAAGGCGCAGATTTCAGCATCTGCTGGATAAGCCCGCAGGTTTCAACATTTCCTGAAAAGATAGTATGCAGTAATTCTGTAATGAGAAGAAAGCACAAAATGAAAATGAAAAATACTATAAATGTAAGCAAGTCTGAACAAAAAGAAACTGCTGAAAATTGCAGAAAAATCTTCAACGAATAGTTGCAGTGCTTTAATATTGGTAAATTGCCTGTGACAGTATTTCAAACCATATGATATTAGCATTAAATGCTTTCATAATTTTTTGTGGCTTATTTTTTAGGACAGCTGAAATTAGGCAATTTATGATGGAACATGTTATCTTTCTTAGACCTTTAATTTGTTCAGCAATTTTTCATTCCATCAACACAAAAACTTCCAGTTATTTGCTTGCATTATTTTTTTTGCATAACTCTACTTAAATAGTATAAGGATTCGAGTAAATATTAAATTTGATATGCTTCCAGAGTTCCGGATGTCAGTGCAAGCTCAGCAAGGTTTGTCCTGCGGTTTTTCGAGAATATGAAACAGTGTGAGACTGATCCAAGAAAGGACTTGTTCGAAATTTTAAAAAATGAGGGGATTTGTATAAATCATTTAACATTTTAATACATTCTCATTTGACATTTTCTTTTTCCGTCATATTTTATTTTTTGTTGAGAGATCACACAATAAATTATCATCTTTAATTAAATAAATGGTAAATTTCTGGTAAAAAATTTAAGCAAATTTTCTCAGTTAAGTTCCATGTAAAGATCATTTGTATTTTATTAATTTTATACGAAGACCTGAATCTTGACATTAGAAAAGGCAGCAAATTTCTGTTAATTTAACTTCTCGAAACTGGATAGAAATTGTTTTCAATCCTTGCTTTACGCGTCTACTAACAGAGAGTAGGAGTGAAAAGTTAGTTGAAGAATGTTTAAGGAAGTTCGAAATTAAATACAAATTCGTTTTCATCAATCACTTCATTGCGCAGCCGAGAATTCTCTGAAGATTGCCGAGTATATCGATTCTGTTAAAAGGATTTGAGGGAACTGAAACAGATACTTCTCTTTCTTTCACATTCTTCTCCAGTCGGTGTCAGAAGTCAGACTCATTCATTTCATTTCTCTCTCCTTCCATTGCTTCTATTATTCTATCAGAGAAGAATTAAATTGAAAATAATCGTTGTCTTTAAATTGATCGGTTTTTTTAAGAAATTAAAAAACTAATTTCTCTAAAATGAGAAACGTAAATGATCTTTACACGAAGCACTCTTTAAACATTTAATTTATTAACTTTCTAGAAAAAAATGGTTTCATATATTATACAAAGACATTATTTTTGGTTATTCAATCCATCAAAAGTAATGGTTCATTTCTTTAATTAACCGGAAAATATAGAAACAAGAAAGACAAAAATGCACTGATGTTGGAATACGATTAGGCAAATAATTAATAAAATAATGTAAATTATTCAGTAAATTTTTGTAATTTTGGCATAAAAAATTACAAAATTGCTGGGATCACATTTTCAAATACAACTCTTCTGGAAATTATCATCCTTTTGTGAGTAAACATTTCAGCAGTATGGAACAGTAGAAGGATCAAATCGACTGATAGATTGGATGATATTATTGAATATGTACGAGAAGCATAACTGCTAGCTGATTTTGTTATAGATGAAATAAGTTTCAGTTTCCATTTCTTTTCAAATTGATGAGTAAATTTGAATTATCATTTTTTGAATGTCAAATTTTTTTACTAGCGTGAAGAAAAATCATTTGACGCTTTTATGGCGCCAACGAATATTCTCTCAGTTCGAATTTTTTTCGGTTTTTAGATAACTTATCACATGGAGCAAAGTACTTTCTTCCACTAAAAATTAAATTGAAAAATTACACTTACACGATTTACTATAAAGAAAGAATTTCGAACAAACAACTCAGTGTTGAAAGTACTTTCGTCGTAATTAAATTAAAAATAAAGACGATCACAGCAGTGATGGGAAGGAAGGATTATTTGGCAAAATCAAACCTGTTTGCTGATTAGATCATATCATTCACGTTCGACTTAAGGCTTTTTTCAAGATTCAGTAAGGATTTGAAAGGGTGGATGGTAAATGAGGCTTTCACGATGATATGCTTTTAACTTACTTAGCTTGTTATTTGGTCCTAACAGAGTTTTGGCTTCTGATTATAAATAGAGAATAAGCTTGGAAAAAAGGGACTGGCAGTTTTGAAGTAACCAAAAGCACCAATAATAATAGTATTGATAGTTATTGGAATTCTCGATTGGTTATTGTGAATACAATGAATGAGTAGTCTTTCGAGTATTTTGGACATAAATCACAACGGTAGCATAATGGGAAGGAGAGGACAAATGATAAACATTGTGATAAGATACTGTACATCTGCATTATCAGATTCTTCAAAGTAAGAGGGGATTAGAACGACATGATGTTGTCTTGACGGTTTATTTCAGTCAAGCAGAATAAAACTGTCTCATCACCATTTTATGACAACATCCTCCGCCATAATTCCTTTTTCATATTTTGAGAAGACAGTGGTGACATGGTGTGGAAAACGTTCGGCAATAATTGATAAACAGCAGGAGTAGGAAGTTAACGGGTGTTGACAACAAAATTTCAGAAAGAGAACGTTTTACTTTACAAAAATATTACAAAACTTATATTACAATAAAATGTTGCAACCGCCATCAAAACAAACTATTCGTGAAGCAGTACCATCACCGAGATTCCTCGCTTCTTCTTTTTTGGTTGTTTAAAATCGAATTGCTTTTACCATGTCCATCTGCCGTAATTGAATGATAGGCTTTGCACTAGCTATTAATTTATAATTATGCTTGTGGATTTATAAATTTCATCAAACGGAATTTGCGGTCAAAAGTGAAAAATAGGAAATTTCCTTAGAAAACTTAGTTGGCTTCACTGTGCTAATTAATTTAGCAAGACTTTTAGTCAGTCCTTTCGATTATTTATTTTGTTGTCATTTGTGGAAAAGTAATAAAATCACAATCAAACAAAAGAATTCATTGCAAAAATATTTTTCACATTAAAGTTTTTGAGGGAATTAAAACTTTTGATCGAAAATTTTCTAAATTTCTTTTCGATGTACAATAATGACACAATGCGGATTGCAAACAACACTGTTCATCTCATTGCTTTTTATTTCATTTACATCCGTTGATGAGAGAGCTTCAAATAAAGGAATGAGCGGTGAAAAGCGAAATGACAGTTAAAACAGTTAGTCGAACCTGATCGCTAAATTGCCTCTTTTATTACAATTGATTTCAAGTCTTGTTATAAAATAAAAAATCTTTAAAATCATAAAACTACCAAATAAAAATGTAATAATGAAGATAGGGAATCATCTAAATTTCTTTTATTGAATAGTGATAAAAGATCAACAGATACGTGATTATATTTTCTAATTTCTGTCATAACTAACTTTATAATTATAATCGAAGTAAACGGAAGAACAAAAGTAGAAGCCTGACCTTCCTATTATAAAACCGATTCATAATTTTTTCCTGTTTTTTCAACTTTTTGTAAATCTCTTGGCTGGAAGTAATGGGAAGCGAAGCCATTGAAAATAAACGTATGGATATAATCTTTAACTATTTCAATTGAATTTTTTTTCCCCAACATTTTTTACATCTTTTTTCGATTATGATGATAAGAATGGCAATGTCTGAAATCAAAAATTGAAATCTTTGATTTGCATACACAGGATAATTTCTTTCTTTCCTGATTCACAGCAGTGAAGAATTAACACTATCAACAGCATAATCGCAAGAACGGAAATTTTCAAATTTCTTTAATGACTAATAATTTTAAACCAACTCGCCAAGTCGCGTTGCTATCAGGTTTTGAAAAACTCATTTAACTGACAATCATTTAAAATCAGCATTTTTCTTATCATCACATGACTATATAACTTGTTGGGGAAGTCATCACTAGCTTGATTCCTGTACGAAATATCAGTCACCAGAATCAAATAAATTCTGCGTGATTTTGAACGCTGCAGCAACTACGTGTAACAGACATTATCAAACATCAAAATTTCGAAATACATAGATTTAAGATCGTATTAAATTTATATTATTTCATTTCAAAACACTGCTTTCTTTCCATCAAGAAAAAGAAAAACTATAGCTATGTGAAAAAAATCGCAAGTAAAATTTATTGGGGTAATCATGCATGTTGAACAGAAAAAATTAAGGTTCGTGAAAGGAAATAATATTTATTTCACCATAATCCAGTTATCGGAGAAGTCAAGTCTAAGTTCGACTACTTCATCTTTCATTAATTTTGTACATAATTGAAGATTAAAATAACTTGCAATACCACAAAATATTCGGCAATGAATGCTTATCAATGTTGCGTCACCAGTGTAGCATTCAGCTAAACATTCTAATATGAAGCTCTAAACAATTTTTACAGAAAAATTTCTTCTGGGATGCTTCAAACCTTTATTCTCTGAAAAGAATATTCGACACAAGTAGCATAGCTATGTCTAGAAACTGAATGAATGCTTAAATAAATAATTAACACAAATAGAAAGGTGACATGGCTCAAAAGAACCGCGTCACCTTTCTATTTGTATCTATCTGTAAAATCAACTAAATCCACTGTCCACACATAAGATTAAAAAGACTAACATAGTACTGATCTTAAAATAAATTTAATGAATCAAGAAAACGAAAAGATTTAATTTTAAAAACAGTCATTCAATCCACCAAAACACTAATCATTGAAATCTAAGTACATATATCAATTCTCAGAATTAATTTGTGGATAAAGCTTTCATTTTGATAAAAAAACCATATTTCAGTACATTTCTACAAAATCGGAATTTGATTCAAAAATTAGCTGGTGCAGATACGGGTGCCGGCTTTTTACCAAAACCGGTGAGGAGTTTCTTAATTTCTCCAATTGCCTTCGCTGGATTTAAATGCTGAAATTAAATAAATTTCCAAAATTATAATAACTATTTTGATCTACACCAATATCTATACAATGCACTTCGTTGTATGCACATTTGAAGTTATAAGTAAGAAATAAAAAACATGAATTTAATGGATAGCAAAACATTATGATCTAAGAAATGTAAACAGCCTTGCCATACCTCTAATTAGCTAGCAAGAATAATGATGGAAATTCAAAAGTGAACAATTATCATTGCATCCCCAAAGTTAAAGTAGTAATGAAAATTAATTGCGTTTTAACAGGGAACTATATATACCTTCGGACAAGTTTTTGTGCAGTTCAGAATAGTGTGACATTTGAAAACACTAAAATGATCGTGTATTTTCGACAATCGCTCTTCAGCATAATCGTCTCGAGAATCGATCATCCACCTAGAAAATTATCATTAAGAGAAAGAAAACAAAAAACATTACACTTCTCAACAACTGATCTCAAAAAAAGAAAAAAATTTATAAGCAAAGATGACATTCAGTTATAGAAGATTAAAAGTATAGGCAGATCGTAGTGTTCATTTTTTGATTAACCTTCAACATGCATGTTTAACGAACTAGGACCAACTAATTGCAACAAAAGCATACAATCATAGGTGCGATATGTGGTGCTTACCATTATATTTTTAATTTAGTTACTTCCTTATAAAAAAATCACTTGATAGTTCACAAAAAAGTGAATCTTGCAGAAAAAGCAAACCTATAAGATTGCAGAAGAATAGCTGGCCCCAAGTATTTATCTGCATTCCACCAGTACGACGGACAACTAGTACTGCAACAGGCACAAAGAATGCATTCATATAATCCGTCCTAAACATCAGAAACTAAGTAACACCAATAGTTTTACTTGCTTGCACTGATAAGAGATAAAAGATGTTCTAGTACTTTACAAATAACTAAAAATTTTAAACTTTCTACTAAACTTTGATTTACCAACCAGTTTCTCACGCTCTTTTTCTGTTTGGTACATCTGCTTCTCACCAAGCACCAATTTGTTCTTTTTCTTTAGCCATGGTTCAATCGATGCATACTGTGCGTAAAACAAGTTCATATCTGGTACCAAATCCTGCAAATTGACAAACAATAATCACTGGTTATTCGGAGATGAGCCATACGTTAACCTAAATTGAGCTTAACTTATTTTAATCAACTTTATACTGGAAAACTTATCATTTCCTGTTTATAATAGATATGGCAATAATGAGATAGACAACGCGTTTAACTTAATCAATTTGATCAATAAAAAATCTCCATAAGTTGTATATACAGGAAGAGCAAATTTTAACCTTTCACAGAATCTAACCATAATACTGCAAAAAATGGAAATCCGAAACATGACAAGCATATGAGACCAGAAGCTTGTGAAAAAGCACATCGACACCTCGTAGTCTGGCAAGTCCACCAAAATGAGTTATTGACAACTTGACCAGTTATAGTAAAAAGTATTGGAGTCAAATCCGACACATTACACATAAATCTTTGAATATTTCCCGTTCTGATTAACAATACCAGGAGCATGAGCATGACTAAGTCTTCAAAAAATTGTTTCTCGCTATACCAAAACTCGCCTTGATGACAAACATATGTGGTAGCGGATAGATCTTCGTGCTCTTGCTTGTGTCTTCATCAATTTTACAAATACATGCCAAGGTATTCTCGCCACCGATATTCATAGCACACGAACCACAAATGCCTAAAATTATCTGCAACTTTATTAAACTACCAATCTTTTTTACAAATAGTTTTCCATCCACTCGCCAATGTGCTTAAGGAGGAAAATTTCAATGCTCTGGAAAGTACATCAGTGAACAACGTGAACAAAATATGAAATCCAATATAACAGCACAAACCATATCATTACCCAAGGTGAAGTGGTAATCGATATCACAATAATAAAATTTATCAGTCAACAATTACGGAATGCACCGAGCTTCACTGTTCCCTTACATTCTGAAAAATTCTATCACAAAGTTTTATTTTTCAAAGAAGTATATGCAAAATACCTTCACGACAAGAACGGCGGAAAGTGAGAGTCGGATCGACTTCATTTTTGATTTTGATCAGCGCATCCAGAACCATCGCACCACAGTCATCCAAATCGATATCATATTTCTGAAGTAAAATTCAGTAGAATGTACGCGAAACATATAACACATAGCATGCATAGAAGAAGTCATTCGCACAACAGAAAAGTACCTCATTCAATTTTGGCTAGTAAATGTGAATAAAATTTTCATTTTAAATTTAGTCAAGAATTTGGTTTGCATATGCATTTTTGAATTTCTTGTGTACTATGAATATAATTTAACATTATCTTCTTATGAAAAAGTTTAGTTATCTTTTTTTAAATATTCAGTAACATTCTAAAGTTAGAAAACAGTACTACAACTGTGACAGACATCAAACATCAAATCCATAAGGAAGATGTAAGGGAAAATGCGCAGTGCTAGCCAACAACTTATCCAAGTCTTCCCCAGATACCTCCTATGATAAACTAGATCTGTGTCCAATATGAACATGACGATGGAGTGGTACAGGGGATATCTGTAAAATCAAATGCAAATAACGCAGTTATCCACGGAATCTTATCATTCTAGCCACTCTAAAAAGCTTCTATCTTCGAAAAAGCTAGGTGTTCCTGAATGGAAAGAAAAAAGTACCTGTAACTGAGGTTGTGATCCGGGCTTTTCCGGATCATACCGATATATCTCGAATGTTTTAATACGTTTCCCTGTTTGTGATGTCAAGGATGCGTAACGTGCCACTTGATGTATAAGATTTCCAGTACGGCAGAAACTGGATGCACAACGAATCATCGCTTTTTGAAAGTATCTTAAAATGAATTTGTTATATTACGTAACTGGTTCCAATGTAACAAAAAAATGAAATGAACGTAAGGGCCAATCACATGTCCAGCATGTGGTTACAGTAAAGAAAATCATGCACATAATTGCTGACCGCGTTAATCAAACGTAAATCAGCGTACTATGCACTTAGGCTATTAAAAAAAATGGATAGTTTCGTAATCATAGTTTTTTCACCAAAAGTGGAATCAGCAAGTTTTTGAGTAAGAAACAATTCAGACAATGATTACTGCAGGGGAGATAATATACATCACGTAATTCGAAAGCGCTGATATTTCCGAGTGCTTCAAGTACCTTCACAACACTGCGGGACTTGCTAAACAACAAATGATCGAACATAGTTCTTTACCAGCGGTAAATAATACCTATGGTATAACTAACATTCATATAGTCATGTGTCCGGATATTCAGAAAAAACAGGTTCATAGAAACCCGGTTTACGCAAGGCTAACTTGACCTGTATGTATGACGTACAAAAGTCCGAAAAGCATCATTCGTTATATAAAATATTGCTGAGGAGTTATTGAGAGAAGCGCAAAGAAGGGCGAGTACGGGAAATGTTATGTGAAGGGACGATGGCACCAACAAATATAACTGAGAAGAGGACAGGTGCAGAAATACAGAATGAACAACAACACGTCATGGCTGCACTTTGAAGTGCAGGTACGTGCATGCATGCACTATCATTTGCACCTTATGTATAGTGAGAGGATTTGAGAGAGGGTTTGGTGTCACTCGAGATTATCGCACCTGCTTTTATTGACCTCGAATTTCATTTTTTGATACCAATGGCAGGAAATAATGTCAATCATTTTCAATATCCTCAGAATTAACAAAAAATTGTACAACAGAGTGTGGAGTTCAATATAGAATGTAACGTAAGAAGGACCCGAACGTCCCGGGATATTCTCCCATTTCGCAGAAACAACCATTTGCACGCCACAGTTTGCTCGGTGGATCTCTTTCGGTACTCCGGTGCGCTTACGTTATGACAGATAAGCTAAGCTGGTAGCTAAACAAACTTGCTTATAGTGCAAATGCCGAAATCATAGGTGACGGCGATACTTTCTTTCCAGAAGATCTGATTAACAGTTTTCCAAAAGTATTCTCGGTTTAAATAAAAAGTTGAGGCGCAGAATGAGAAAGATGAAAAATTTTGTTAAATTACTTGCTCAATCGACTGTACCATAATAGCTTTAGTTCTAAAAGTGGGATGTTCTGCTGAAGAAACTTTCCACATAGCAAGTAGGAAAAAGTAATGAGTTATTTATTGAATATTTAGAGAGTTCTATTCCTTGGCCTTAGGGTGTTTCGGATGTTTTTGTGGAGTGATAAAGAGATGACATGTCACTTTAATAAGGATCACTCGTAAGATCAAGGATTAAATTACTGCTGTGCATTTACGGTTAGTTCCATGAATTCATTATCTTTCGATCAGACATACAGATTGCTAAGGCGACCAGTGCTTTACTTTTGACTTTAGCTTAATGGCACTGTGATAAGCGCGACCATTTTCAGATTCAGTGACATGTAATTATTGATTAGTGACACTGATGACATCCCATGATAATTCCGTAATCATTCCGGAAACTGATAATTTAGAGAGCAGTTCACTAGAACTTGCTTCGGGTGCTGAAATCGGAGAGCACGAATCAGTGCAGCAGCATCAAGATGCTGATACTTCGGGGATAAGTTATACTACGGTACGCCTTTATTCGTAACAAATTTGTACTATACAATAGTAATACTTTAATTATGGAGTTCCTCATTACCTCACTCTTCTTCCATGTCAAGTGTCAGCGACTGTTAATGTACGTTTACTGGTTTACTAATTATTGAATTGGTGGATTTTTTATGAGTCATAGCTAACATTGAGGTGAAAACATATGCATATATCATTGTGTATTAAAGATATCTTTATATATGACATGTGTTAAATAACAGCACACGTAAAATTCAAAGCTTGTTAGATTTGAAATTCAAATTGAGATCTTGAGCTTAGAAAATTACATGTTTTAGGTTCCAGTGGAAGTACTAGAGGTAGCCGGTATCGATATTGAGAATTCATGTGAATTAACTGAAGAACAAATAAATACAATCATGTCACTGATTGAACCAAGTGGTGCAACTCAGCAGCATGATTTGAAGCAAGAGCAGGCTGATATACCGCAGTCATCTTATGCTAATAATATACCCAGTTCTTCATCCGAAACGGGAGATCGTTTAACTCTATACATTCTGGATGATGGCTCACTGAAACTTACGGATGCCGCACTTCAAAAGGAATTTTTCGTAAGTTCTTCGGTTTCATTATACCAAAAATGACAAACATTAACTAATAACATTAACGGTGTAATTCTTCTGCTTATTGTCCAGCGTAACATATAATTCTGATGACTAAGAAAAAACCTTGTTGTGATTTTATCCTTAGCATTAGTAATTTCTTGTGGTCCATTTACGATTTCAGTTCACACCAAGGGACTTAGCGTTGCACAATATTGATGTTGATAATTTAACTGATGAAACTTTGCAAAGGATCATTCTGATGGCAATGGAATCGTAAGTTTTTATATTTATTTGTTGCGAGTAAACTTTGTAGTTATTGTAAGCGACCGACCTATATAGCTTTAAAAAAATGATTAAAATGTGTAGTTTGAAACATAATGAGAAAAAATGAATTTTGCATACTACCGCAAAGAAAAAGTTGCTATATTTTGAGAGTTTAATTGCACATTTGATATAAAAATTGAAATGGAAGGCATATCATTTTATAGAAGCGAAGTGGTGCTAATGAAAAGGCGAAAAATAGAGGATATTGATTGTGTGGAATTTACAGGATCAAGTTTTTTAGCCGTAAGTTCCCATTGCCAAAAGAAATTATTTGCTTTGTCTTGTATTCAGCTTTAAAGAGGATAATAGTTTCAGAACACTTCGATGGAACCACCAACATGTGCTTCTTCAAAAAGGGCGGTCGTCGCTGGTAAAATTTTATTGAATTTACTGCTTTACTATGTAGACGGAACTTAATCTGTCAACCTCAGGATTTCACTTTTCAAAATTGCATGTGTTGATTTAGAGTTTTTCGGATTTCGGATTTTATTTTATTTAAGAAGTGGGATATTGATGATGGTTGTTTCAGATGAGCACCATATCGAATCGCAGCTATCGTTAATAGGCACTGAAGTTGAAATTAAGCGAGATGGCAAAGTATATTCCGCTACAATTAAATACTGCAGACAGAGTGGAGGATATAAAGTGCAATTCAGTGATGGTCATTATGAATGGGTTAGTGAAGATGAAATACGATTGCTTCATGGTATGTTTTCACCATTTTAAATTGTTTCCAATATCATTTATTTTTATTAAAATTAGAAATTATTTAATTATAATATATGGCTGTTCTAGAGGAAAATCCTGCGAAACATAAGGACCATGAATCCTACAGTGAAAGGACAGGAACTGTATCTTTCGGTGATACAATATCAAAAAATATCAATGGCCGGAGATACATTTCCCAGATTCCAGGTGCGTGTCCTCTACTCACAATTTTTAACTTCATATTCTAAAACTGAAATTAATGATTTGTTGGACAATACAATTTCAGGTATCAGAGTCACTCCAACAAATGGTTGCCATAAGCAAGAAGAGCCGAATTTTTGCTGTGTTGTATGCGACCAGAAGGTTTATCAAAGGGTTTGCTCTTTCCTGAGATTATGATTATATTTCCAAAACTCGTGGATTATTTCAATTCGTAAATGGAGTTATATGAAAGTTGTTTAAAGAAAAGACTGCTAGTTGGATTCCAGATAATTTATAATTTTACGTGATGAAAGAGATAAGCTGAAAATGGAAATAACCCTAAAACAAAGTGTTTAATTCCATAAGATGTATGGTTACTTATATTCCAGGAACCACATAAGAAGGTCATCACAAGATTTCATCCTTGTTTGCTTTCGTACAGTTTCATTTGTTTTAAAAGTTGAAAATGTCAACGTTTCTTAGAGTTTTATAAAAACATTTCAGGAGCCGCAGTATATTGTAATACGGATTCCTGCTTGCGACAGATGTGCTGAGCAAAAGATGATTTTGCTAGATGGTACTACAAAATATTCCGAGGCACAAACGTATGCCGACATTCGGAAAAATGATTCTCGTATTGCTACCGCTTCAAAGGATGAACAGGGGAGAAGCTAGTCTACAGAGATTAATTTTATTAATTATTATACATGTTCTGACAAACTCTTTGGTCTTTCAGTAATGTAAAAATATGCCTATTAAGTACAAATTACTTATAGAGAACTTTTTTGATATTAGGTCGCAAATTTAGTGGTGTTTATCCTTCTTTTCCTTCCGAAGCATTCTTTTGTACGATGATATCAAGATATTGTTAAAATGAAGAAAAAGTTTGACCTGATGAAAGATTGCATTATAATTTCGTAATCATCATTTAGAAATTTGAGAGAGGAAAGATTTTCTGAACAAACTGATTAGTTTCCTTTAAATAATTCAGGTTGTTTCATACATTCAGTTGTTTCATTTTTTATTCACTTATCAAGGAAATTAGATCAGTGATTATGTCGCTGAAGTTTGACAGGATATTGTTCTCTTTCTAGACTTCTCTTCAGAAACTCTTTTGAAAAAATTCATTTGCTGTACATGCTAATGATAAGCAGTCAAGTTCTTTATTCGTTTTTTGATTTCCAATTTTGAAATCAAGATTCATATTTTGAAAAAAGGAATTTTTGAAAAGGTTATTTTTTTCTTATCATAAATCGTTGTATTGCATTTATACACTCCGCACTTTGTAAACGTTGCGTCAGCAAAGAAATTTCACGTTCATTTTGTGCGAGAAGTGCTTCACGATGTATGCTTCGGAGTAATTCCTTGTTATAGAATAATGATTTAGGTGGTAATTGTGAGATCTTTTCTACATAAGTTTCTGCCACTTCTCGAAAACAGAATGATGGTAGCACCCGGCATACCAAGTTCCGCTCATGTGCTTCTTGTGCAGTCAGTTTTTTATCAAAAATTAAGATTTCTGATGCCTAAAATTATTTGAAGATAGAATATAATTTCCACTCAAATTTGTGAAGCGAAAATCTCTGATGCTGGAAAACACAATCTAGAGCGTAATAAAATCAATTATTCTGTTTGTTATAAACTCACTTATTAATTGGCTTATTAACTTATTGTTTATATCATCACCAACCTTGCAGTATCCCATTATCATTGGGAATGTGTATGACGAACAAGCTTCCGGAGATTGACCAAGCACTGTGAATGGAGTATTGAATGTTGCCTAAAAATTTAAAATATTTTGCTGTAAATTTATCTGAATAACAAGGAAACTTATTATTGCAATCAGAAAGATAATTTTCGGCAAACCTTATCAGAAGTGATAACCAGGTCAAATAAAGGAAGTGCAGTGACAGCAATGCCGATTGCAGGACCGTTAATCAGTGCGACCAAGGCTTTCTTGTGGTTAATGTAGGCGGCAACGTAAGAGCTCAGTACTTGACCTGCTTTGGAAATCATGCATGCTATATTCTCAGGACCAGTGATTTTGGTGAAGTTCGATAAGTCGTTACCGCTGCAGAAATACTGTCCTGACCCTATCAACCACGGCTTTTAATTTCAAGGACTCAATTCATAGACTTTTAAACAAAGAGTTTAAAGTTTAAGAAGTGCTTGAAAATAAAAGTATCATGCTGAATGCAACATAACAAGAATACTTACCAATAAACGCGGTAACTGTGGTATCAATCTCGTTTGCATAATTCAAGGCATTCGTGATTCCGTCATACATCTAAATCTTGGTTTAAGTTTGAAGCTAAATCGTTAACATCAAGTCATCTTTCTAATGTCTAACAAACTCTCTGCGTCGCCTGGTTTACTACATTATGTAACAGTTAAATGAGTTTAATTTTATGCGCCCAACATCAATTCCGAGCTGTTCATAATTAAACTTCATCAATTCCATAATCATCCATTAAATATTCAAAAACATGAAATAATTGTGGATTGTGCAAGACTTCCATTGCTTACCTCTAAAGTTAGAGCATTGCATTTGCTTGGCCTATTAAGTTTTATCCATAAAATCTTATCTTTAATGGCGATATCAAGTCCGGGTACAGGTTTCAGACTGTGGGAAATCGCAGCAGGCGAAACTTCTGTCTCCGCTGCAGATAATTTATTGACCACATCCACGTACATCTTTTGTGCTTCATCCTGAATATTTACAGTTTTGGATGTAGTAAAGCTGCAAACCCAATCATCAGAAGTAGGATTATTATTCAAGACCAAGTACCGTTGATTTCCCTTTGCATTCTCTCCAAGCATCATATTTTGCTTGTGAAGGCGATGGCAATAAAAGCTGTTTGCTCTCAATATCACCGATCGTTGCCTATAGGATAACTCAGTTTTATGGATATTTAAAACAAACAAAAAAACTTTTACTATTTTCAAAGAAGTAAATGTTATTAATGAGGGAGTATTACTTGTTTGTAAAGCCCATAAAGTTTCAGTTTTGTTCGTATATCTTGTCCTCCCGGCAACTGCTTTACCTTCTCGATAGCTTGTTGAAATTCTGCTTCCCAGGATTTTAATCTGTAACTCGCTTAACCATCGTAGAAAAAAAATCAAGAGAAAGCCTGAAACCCTGAGATAAAGAAATTGGGAAAGAATTATTCATCAATTTTTCATAAAAATTCTATCGAGAATGGGTATTGTCATTGTCAATTCAAAAGCAACAATCCGCTATTTTTTAAGCTGATTTTTTAATCGAATTTTTTCAAAGGTAAAAATGGGAAACACGAATTTACTGTTCATGTTAAAGTTTTTTAAATGTAAAAGACAAAGATGACGATTCTCCAAGTTTTGCAGGCGAGAGCTCTTTTAGTTCCAGAATACTCCATATTCCTTGCTCCCTTAACAATACCGACAATCCTAAGTGGAAGCATCTATCAAAAAGCTAATTTTTTTTCCATAATTTCTCAAATAGCATTAAATAGGAATTTTTCAAACCTAAAATTATTTCCAATATAAAGGGTGTTCGACCTGTAAAGATTCTACATTTGTAAAATATTTTCAAGAAGATTACACGAGGTTTAGAGTTTTTTTGCCAATTGATGGGAATAAATGATCATTTGTTACCGCGTATCTCGTAACTTGACAATAGGTGCTAAACATTTCAAGGAAACTTATACTTTTTTAAAATCTGTCGAGAAATAAAAATGAAAGGCCTACCGTGGAAAGTCTTTTTGTATGAAGAATTTCGATGACTGCGAACGAAACAATAATGACGGAGCAAAATTCATAGCAAAGTAAACAGCGGACACCGTTGTTCAAAGTATTCACGGAATTGTTCATTCGGTACAAAGATCGTCATTTGTTGTGCGATATTATTGACGAAAACTTGTCGCGACTGCAAACCATTGATCACTCGATTCGTCCAAATATTTCGTCGACAGATCACTATCCAATAGCAGCAAAATTCTTAAAAATTGTTATTTAATCAAAGTTCATTGTTTTTGGAACAAATCCATCTATCAAATTCACTTTTCCGCCATCTACTATAGCAATGATAGACAATGTTATAGCCCGAAATAAGTCTAGACCACACATGTAGGATGGCCAGGAAAAATTGATTCCCAATCACGTCATGTTTAATAAGCTCGCATCATTGTATGGCCACTGTCTCTTCCCAGTAACCTCCGGTTACTTCTTTAATGAAGTGACTTCGAATATTTGAAGTTGATGATGCAATAAGAAGTCAAATAGTTATGGAGACAAAAAATTGTTTGATTTTTCAGTTCTAGTAGAACTATATTTATTGAGTTTTCTAAAACTATTGAGTTTCTAAACTAATATTTTCTTCCAAAAATTTATCAGACATAGCATTCATTACAAATACATTTTAATACACACAGTGGAGAACACTGTGTCGAGCTAAATTGCATACATCATCAAAGAGAAGAAAAGAAAATGTTATCTTACATTATTATGTAAATGTACTTTTAGCATGCGACTTAAAAGCATGAAGGAAGATAGCGGGAATAAAAATTTTATTTCACAAAACAAACTTTCTTTTAACAGAAACATATTTGTTTCATATGAGAATACAAAAACTTTCTACACAGAAACGCAGTACAACAGAAGCCGAAAAACTTTCAACTGTATAGCAAAATTTTTTTTTGATTTCTGATATAATTATTAAATATTCACAAACATGAACAAAATTTAGGAAGCAGATAATGAACTAAAATTCAAGTTTAATTTGACAATAAAATAACGTAAGAAATCTGACAAAGTTGAACATTAAAATATTTTCATACGAAATTCTAGCTTAAATTTAGTTTTAAATAAATCCCAATATTCTTACAAATTTGATCTTTACCATAAAAAAGTATTATACCATTACACAAAACCGAAAGAAACTACCTGTGAAAGTAAACTTACGAAAGACTTATGATGATTTCCGCAAAGTTCTCTTTTTGTTCGACTTTAACTTTTTGTTTTGACAAGAGCTCTAAAATTATTACTTTGCGTAAATCTTGGTTTCTGATATTTTTTGATATTACTATCAAAAATCAATTCACACCAATGCTGATAAAATTTGTATTTTCTTTAAAATATGTTATTAATTATTTAGAATCATTGACTGATAATTACAACTTGCGAAGCTGAAAAAATACAGCTTGTGAAATAAAAAAAAAAAACATACCCAATAAGTTTGTAAAAGCTCTAGCTGCAAAAACGGCAGAGCGACCACGAACTAATTCCGAAAAACATAATTTCGAGATCTTGTAAAAATTGAGAAATTCAGTTATCAATCTGCAAAATAATCAAAAATATTACTTACATGCAATACTTTAAATTTATATTTATTAAATGTAGTTCCGAGTCCAGTAATGCAGTTTCAGGTAACTATGGATGCAGTTTATACCAAAGCCAAAATTATTCTAGTTACACTGACAAATTCAATGACATCGTAATAAGCCAAAGTATAAAGTGGTAGTATTAGTTGCAAATTACTTAATTCCAGCAGAACTATAGTTATGTACAAAAAAAAGTTAACACAAGTATATGATGAGCAAGTTTACAAACAATTCTTAAGCTGTTATGTTTAACAATTAAAAGTTTAAGAAATACCCAAAAAGTTCATGAGCCTTCTGTGTTTGATGGTATACTGGAACGGAACTGTCACTTGTTTTTACTGCACTTTCTACTTTATTAATTTTCAATTGAAACCGATCTTGCATCACTGAGATTTTCCGGACATTTACCTCATTCTGAGGATCTTCTTGCCGTATTTCATACTCAGAATATTTCTCATCTAGAATAAAAATAGTGTTTTCTTTTTGAAAACTCACATTAAAATTTAAAACTTTTATGTTATATTAACAACTCATCGTAGTATAAATTCATAATCACTTAAATTATAAAAAACATACCAACAAGAACATTTTCAGTGCTACTTTCCAATCTTGTCCCATATAATTCAGATTCTGCAAAATTATGAAATGAAGAAAAAATGGCCACGTTGTTCCAAATTATATGACTTAGATTTGGAAATAGAAATGTATCATAGTTTTGAATTTTTCTATCACTTGTACCAAAGACTCAGCTGTACTTACCAACTCCTAAGTTTGAAAACAACTCCGTGACTCGAGCTTTTTCCGCCGACAAAATGAAGCTGTCGTCTATGCGCTACAAACCAAAAAGTAATGTCTCTTATTTATAAATTGTTTAGATGAAATTTTTAGAATGAATACTTAAATTGACAAAACTTAAGTTGATTGCTAAAAGAAATTCAATATATAGTTTTCTCTCTATACTTCATTCCAGAAAGAAGTATTTTCAATAATTTATAAAAAGTCAAAATAGCAGTTGTTGTGCACTGTAAGAGTGCTACAGGAGCCTCAAGAATGCATAGAAGGAATCACTAAAGACTGACTAGTGATGGTGTCAGGATTTTCTAAAATCGTAGGAATAAGTGATTAGTCGGAACGACTTGGCAATTATAAAGAGATGATGTGTAATTATCTGGTTACCACGAAATGACTGGACAATCTTCGTAATCAATAGCTATCAATTGAAAACTCGCAATTTTTTTCTTTTTTAATTTCAAATTCATACCTCTTGTAACCCATTCTCCTTAGTAATTCTTTCAAAGATGGTAGCTACAGATATTTTCATCTTCTCGTCAAATTGTTGACTTTCGCTAAAGGCAATTGGCAATCCTCCATCTGATCTAAGTTGTGATGAGGGATCAGTGATATGCTGAAACAATCCGTAAAATAATTTAAATAGTAATATATGGAATCAGCAAAAAAGAAAGTTAACAGGATATTTCAACCAGTCTTGAAAGCATTTGAATATAATGACTGAAAAATAGTATGGGATTTCAAAATATTTTCGTGATTTTGCGTATGTAGTGCAGAAAATGAGAAAAAAACTCCAAGAATGTTTTGGCAAGAAATTAACTTATTCAACGAAAAAAATTATATTTGATTTAAACAAAAAAATGGCTCTTAAAAATAACGTCGATTCAAGATTGAAGTAAGGATAGAAATGTATAATTAAGCATCGTTACATACTATACTACTAAATGGTGCTGTGGAAGTGGTGTTTCTTCGTTCTTGCTCGATATTTTCCATCAATGGTGTAACACTCTGTCGTTCCAGATCTTGCTGCTCGATTGTTACGGATCCATGAGATGTGGGTTCGATCGATGTCTCTTTTCCTACTAAAGAGTGATGCAATATTCGCATTGGTGGAGGCTGCATTGGTTCTAATTGCATTGCTTCTTCATATTGAAGTGGCGGTTCATCATATTCTGGTGCTGCTATCCAAGCATCCAAATTCGATGCAGGATTTTTTGAAAATTCTGAAGCAGATTCTCCTAAGTAGTTTCAGTAATTGAAGGTAGTTGGAAGATTAAATGGTTCCTGCAAATCTTCACTAAAAAATTCTTCAGATTTCGCTTATCCTGCACAAATCTCACGTTTTCTTTTCAATTTTTTGTTTGTCGGCATAATCACTTATGCTTTCATTCATATTTCAATGTTCCACAATTATGTTTTAAGGAAGCATTCACTCCAATAGAGTGAAACATCATTTGGGAGTTGTCACTTAAAATGAAACCTGTAAAATTAAAAAGAGCCACATCAAAGTGAAAACAACAAAAAAGAGATTCAAAATTTACCACGCAATGTCACTGGATAAGCGTCAAATAAATCTTGAACAGTTACCATCCTGTGTTTTGATATTTGAGGAATCACTTCATCGCGTATATGCAACAAGTCATTACTGTTATCGATCTGCGCTTGAAGCTGTACCTAAAATATTTAGAGACTACAGTCTAATTTGAGACAAATTTTACAATTTTAATGAAAATAATGACAAAAGTAAAAAATAAGGCATTAGACCTTGCTAAACATAGTTATTTCGTCAATTATGGTACCATGTTTGCGGCGTTTCTTTTTTGGAACTAGCATCTGTGAGTCATGCACCTCACTCAATTCAAGTATCTGAAAAAAATAATAAAATTACTGAGCTTTGAATTCTGGAATGAAATTTCAAGAATTTATCCTTAAGCAATCTACCTCAACTCAAAAAAGTATAAGTTTATGTGATGATAAAATAATAATTAAAAGTAGGTAGTCTTGCATTTCAAAGCGTTTAATACCACGTCTTTCTTTTTTTCTTTCGCATAGTAGATGGAAATGTTAGTAAGAAAATCCAAAACCAGAATACTAATACAGCTATAAATTAAGTCATCGAATACAAAATGAAGCGTAATCATGACATAAATTTACTGATAAAGATGTCGGATGCTTGATTTCCGACTCTCGTAGAGTTTCATCAGATCCCAAATCGTACTGTCTCTCTTTACATATCTCGCCTTCATCGCTTACTTCCATCATTTCAAATACCTGTTTTTAACAAAAAAAAAAAATGATCCTGCATCTTTTCTTTTCCATTGAAAGCGAATAACAAAAAGAAATTTTTAGAAAAGTATCTTTCTGACGCATCTGTCCATCGGGTCTATTGAAGTAGAGAACTCTTACTTACATGTGTCGTTTTATCAACATCCCTATTATTAGCCAACGTTTCAGGAACTATATTCACCATGCATTCTTTGGATCCATTTGTGCTTCCTGATTTGCTTTCAATAATATGTTCGCTATCTTCTTTCAGAAGAGCTTCCCTGAGAAATTGACGGTCAAAAAAGACTTCTGAATATCTCACTGATTATAAACTTCGAGTGAAAAAATTAAATATCTTCTAGGAAAAGTAACAACAATTAAATGATAGCTCAACTCTTATTAATTCTATTAGATCTGGAACGTCAGAATATTTCTATTCTTAATTATGAATGACGTGACTGTAGATGACGTTAACTTGATTAGCTAATTGATACATTACATTTGTAGAGCTTCAGCTGCTGTCAGTGGTCCAAAATCATCGTTAAACAAGATATCAATTTCCGGAAGTGGTATATCTTCACGTAATGTAATTGCACTGTAATCCAGCACAAACTTCAGGTGTTCATTTTCCTTTAAAAAATAAAGCCATTTGCAAGGAATGAAAAAGACAGAACTGCAATATATGAAAATCCGTCAAAGAAGAAATAAGGCTAGTAATACAATGTTATAAGCAGACTGCTTTCCAGCAAAAATCCACTAGGATTGAAAATGTCTTCCCATTACATTGGAGCGAATGTCGAGTGATCAAAAGAAATTTCAAAAAAATGGAACAAATCCATACAATAGTCTCAAATGAAGAATCCAAAATAAGTAAATCGTTTCGTTTTGCTGCGCGTTTCTTCCGATCCTTCTTGCCTTTCATAGAGGATCTTCAATAGGTTTCAAAGCTTGCTGCGATATCAAATAGAAGAAAGTGAGAAAAACAATTTTAATTATATTGCATGTTTCTAAAAACAGGGCATCGTATAAAAAGATAAAAAAATTGATTTAACAATTCAATCCCACTTTCTAAATATAAGACTGAAAATAAAGATCTGGTCAGAAACTAGCGAAAGTAAAAAGCAAAACTTATTTAAAAGAAGAAAAAATACTCGTTTTCATCTTCATCTTGATAACGGCGTATGATTGGAATAAATGTTTCCATGTCTCCTAAATCATAGATGTTTCAAAACCTCTGCCATTCACTGGGATAGCTGCATTCTCTTTTATCCAAGAGAATGATACTTTTCGAAAATAAAATTTTATAAACTTACTGCATAAAATGTCACCCCGTTTTTGCACGATTAGCGCAATACCATAGGAAAGTTGTGCAAGCAAATAGAGAGAAAACTTAATTTCACCCGGGTTCCCGTTCGGTATTTTTCCGATTAGAAGTTCGCTAAAAAACAGTCAATTATTACCTACTGCTATCGACCCATAAAATCAAAGATGGCCGCTGAAATTAGCTTTTTAGCATACGTATTGCTAAACTTTTTTATCTATAAAATAATCGTGGATAATGTAGTCGCATGAGAAACTTGTGTACATATCTCGTCATAAGACATCGATTGGATTGGAACAAAAAAAAAAAAAATTACCACTGCACAATACTAACAAAAAAGAACAAAAAAGAAGGATCATAAACTAACCAAACCCTCTGCACATTTATATCCAAAATAATCTTTCTCGAAGGTCTCCATTTCTCATCAAACACAACTCGCCTGGAAACATAAATTAATGATCTATCATAAAAGCATGAACTCATACTGTCAGCTGGTACTAAAAGAACCCCACAGTTATGCGCTCTTTAAAAAAAAAAAAAGTTAATAACAAGTTGTTTAAAAAAGATGATGGACTTATATTTGGCGATATAATTATTATAAGTTATCATTCACTTTCATATCATGTCTTCTTTCTTACTGATCGGCAATTGTCCTTATTCTATAATTTAGCCAATCAAGTATTATGTTGGACGACTGCTCCAAATTAATTTTAGCTACAACTGTAAATTTTACAGTTTTGTAATTAAAGTTTACTTGTAATACTATTACACGCAGATGAGAAATGTGATAACATTGCCATACCCTGCTATACGCCATTTAAAAATATGATTATCAAAATGACGAACCAAATGACAGCCAACGGTTCATTTCTCTTCATCAATAGCGAAGGTATGAAGAACATTCTGACTATAATCCGAAATGATGTATACGATTTATTTCAACCCCGAGAATGTCCTTTTTTAGATTACTAATAGTAACTGCACCTAAAAATTACTTTTGCTAATCACTGTGATTGGATAAGACGTGGAGAACACGAAGAAATGGTACAGCAAATCATTTGTCAATATGTCGCATGCTATAATGTTTTTGTATCTGAAACAATTCCATCTTACCATTTTAAACTACCACAGCAACATTAGGAATGAAGAAGGTAAGGGAAAGAAGGAACAGAACTTGTTAGAAATACCGATCCATCGACAGTGTTTAAGTTAAGCGGTATATGATGAGATTCGAAATTAAACGGGAGTATAGCTTTGAAAATAAACGAATAGTCGATTTTAAAAAAGTTCAGGGAATCAAAAAATTTGAAGAGATTTAATATAGCCAAATCCGCGCAAGTTAAATGAAAGAATGAAAGAAAACATTACCACTTCATCAAAAAACACGTAGTGATGCATAACTGCATTTATCTTATCATTTCCTATCCCTTCCTAACACATTCTGCTATCTTAGAGAACTTTGCAAAATGATCGAGAATCCTCAAGACTGAAACTGATAGCAATAACAATGTGATGTGGGTAAAGCAAGAGGTTACTGTAAGGTATAAAGGGGGAAGATGACTCTTTCCATCCAATTATACCATTGAGATGAGCGTGGTACGGTATCTATATTGCAGTATGCATTGTGGTTGAAGCTTACAAGATGGTCTTCTCCAATCTGTTCACGTTCTCACGATTCTTTGTGGAGTGTGTGGATGGGACGAGTAAAAGTAAAATGAAGTGAAGAGAGAGATCGGGTTCAGGGACAGTGCTGGGATGTGATAGTGAACGGGAACGGCTCAATGTAGGAGCCTGCACGGAGCACGAGCGGAGCACACGGCCCTCATTCTTTTCTCTCCATGCACTGTGCACGTGCAATCTCAACGAATATTTCCTTTCCCGCTAAGAGAAGCACGGTGTCCCATCACACAATGGCGTACGGTAACAGCACCCAGTCCGTTCCCAATGAGTCAGGCGCGTCACATCTGCAATAAATGAAATATTCTAAAAGTAAATTCTGCTTAACGATGCTAGCGATTAAAGATGACTCATCCAATGGGTTAGTGATCAAAGTGATTTTTCAGGAATACTTTTATCCTTTCTGAGAATTGTTTTCATTCATCCTCCAGCAGAATTCACTGATCCGGACAGCACTCCCATATTACTCATAGAGCCATTGGGAGGGAATCAAACAGTGGGATGACGAATTTCACATTGGCCCAGTGAAAGTGATGAAAGTGGAAAGGCATTTTGGGAATCCCGTTGACATGTAATGCGGTCATAGCAGTTCCTTCAGCACTTCTTCCAAACGCTAAATAACGGTTGAAAAACGAGAGTGCTTGATGGAAACTGTCATCCTCAAGTAGATTTTTTATTTAAGTGAATCTCCTGACAAGATGACATCGTTAGAGAAACAACTGAACAGTTTACGAACAGCAGTTAGTGGACAACTTGAAGTGGAGCGACCGCATGTGTCGCTGCTTTTTGATAAGAAAGATGCAGGCTCGTTATATGTGGAAAATGCATTACAAATTGGTTACATATTTATCACTTATTTTTTTTGAATATTTCAATTTAAAGCTGCCTGTAAACTGTAAAGAATTTGATCACTTATATTCTCTAAATGTAGGTTGTTCTCTCTTTGACCTCATGAATTCCCATTGTACACCTTCGTGTACCAAATCTGTGCGCCAGATATGCCTCACAGGTCATACTTAAACACAGTGCTAAAAGCTTAAGAATTTTATTTTTATTTCCTTGTTTTAATTCCACTTTTATATGGAAAACGTTGAATTCCATTTAGGCATCACCAGCAGACAATTGTATTAATGATAAAATAAGGGGGAATTATCTTCACAATTCTCTTGAGCTTCTTTAGCACACTACGTTTTATCATGTTTCAGTATTACCCAATCATACGTATAAAGTGCTACTTCATTCAGATAGGATTCTTTACAGTCAATTATCCAGCCAACTCAAAAAAATTTTTTTTCAAGAATGTAACCTTTTTCTGTTTATGAGAAATTACAGGACGTGCTGGGCTAGCAGAACTGCGAAAGGTTGATCCGAAAATAGCTGTTAACGAAGAGGACTTGTTTGATGATGCGGCGGTTAATGTGCATCGTGCACTTCTGACAAAAGAAGAAAATGTAGTACTTAATGAAAAACTCGAACGATTGATTATACAGCTTTCTGCTTATTTGCATCATCTCGCAGCGAAGCAAATCCTCGAATGGTTAATATTTCAGTTCCATGTAAGTTTTATGTCCCTTTGACGCACCATTTCTTCAGCTGTGTGCTATTTTCAGTCAAGAAAATTTGAGAGAACTTCTCCATTAATTATTAATTTGTATCCATTATGAAACGAAACAGTATAATTATTTGGAAGGGGAAAGTTGTTTAAGTGGGCAGAAATTAGTTCACATCGTGTAGCGCTGAATAATTTTCAAAAATTCAGAACATCTAATTGATAAAGGCTTGATACACATGTATGGTAAAAGTTTCCTTGCAGGATAGTTTCAGATCTCAATAAGATATAACAAGTTAGAATAAAAATTGTCTCGAAAGATATTAGGTAAAACGAATTAAATTATGCAGCAGAAATGCTTGCTGACTAGGTTTCTTGTCACTAATATTTTGTACAAAACAACCCTACAAACGGCAAACAAAAGTTTTATTCACTAAAAGTGATCCAACAAATGTAGCTATGAAAACTTCATTACGATTTACTTATGTCTCATTTTTACGCACTTTATTTTATAAATTGATTTTAAATTTAAGGTACAAAGTTTCAATGCCGAAACATTATTTATTGCTTTTTTACCATATCATAATTCGAATATATTTGGACGATTGTTGTCAATACTTGATTTAAAAGGATTGGAATATGAATGGGTCAAAGAATATGCTAGCTTAGAAGCATGCATTCCAATGACAAAATTGGTCGTTATTTGTGCTTCAAGAAATCACTCATTACTCACTCTTATACACAACCATATTGAATGTGTTAGGAAGGTAGATTTTAATTTTTCCTTTATAATTGTTATGAAAAGTCCATGCAGCCCCTCTTCACGTCTTCATTGCTTTCGGTCGGGTCTTTTTGATTCTGGTTTCGGGCACGACGAAATCGGTAGGCAAATTATTTGAAAGATCTATGTTACAAAGTGTGTGGACATAATTTACTTGAGGGGAAGAGCTATCATGTTTAATTAAGTGGATAATTCCTTTTAATTTGCTTTTAATAGTCATTTTGAAAGTATTTATTGCATTACTGAAATAACTTTGCCAGAAGATTTTGTATTAGTAGTTGGCTTGTACAGTAGAACTTTTATAGTTGAAGTGGACGAACGAATCAAAAGAATTTTGAGAATTTGATGAAATTTTCCATGTTCCATGGAAATCATAAAGTTATTATAAAAAAATTTAGTGGTACTCAGTAAATGGTCTATACTGTTTCACTTTTTTCAGTTATTTAGTGCAAAATTTATGGAGACTAAACTGCCACATTTATTCACCTTTTTTGCTTCAATTTCTGTTCATCTTTTGGCAAAATCTGATGTAACGGATGCTTTAGTTTCAAAAATGTTGCCTTTCTTGGCCAGAGGCTTGATGTGAGTTAATTTTTTCTTTTTCTTATTGATAAACTCTTAATATTTTTCTATAATATATGAACCGCTATTTCATACTTATGTAATTTAAATTATATCCTACATGAGTCTTACGTTAATCGTATGGACAAAACAGCATCATAATATTCAATGCATTTTCAGAATTTTTCAGATTATCATGCACATTTCTGAAGAAGTGAACTATTTTTAGGTCAGATTTAGTTTCTTTGCGATTGGCATGTCTTACTATAATAAGCCAACTGTGCATAAATGTAAAGTTAATCTCCAACAAGCTCGTTCCAATTATTAAGCTTATCTTACTCAAAATGGACAATTATACGGTGAAGGAATCAATTGATACTTTAGTAGTCATTTACCAGCGCCAAGAAATATTCGATTTTCCCCTGAAGTTTGTGTTTTTATTGTTTTGATGACATTACATTGGATATGGCTTGGATTTTCAGTGTTGCACTTTGGCAATGCAGTATATTGTGTGCTAGACACTGTTCTGTGTATCTCATAAACAACGCATTAATCATCCTCATTACTTTATTAAAGTCAACTACTTCTTTTGTGTTGCACGATATTCAGTAAAAAACATTCAGGTTTAACTGGCTTTACTTATGCGTATGATTGCAGTGATCAGGTATTTTTAGATTGATATTTCTTTTTTGAATATATCATGTGTCAAACCTGTGATTCCTAGAAGGCGAGCTTTTTCGACTTTCAGGTTGAAGATCGCATTAAAAATTGCTAAGAAGGATGAATATCTGCATATTTCGAAATACATCAAGTGTTTGTTCTCTATTACAGATATGCGGCAATTTATTACGGCATTTGCACACACTTTTATTCCATTGCTATCAGAATGCGGTAATTTCTGTACTAGTGTTTGGTCATCGTTTAATTTTATAGATTCTTATTGATCTTGAAAAATTGGTGAACAGCTCATAGTTTCATAAGCATATCTTTTCCAGAGTCAGAATTGTTGAACGAAGGAAATGAAATTGTGAAATTTCTGTCTTGAAGTAATATAAGTTTTGAGAAGTTTCTGTGTTTATTGTTTAGATAAGGACGAAAAATCGATGGAATTATGCAATTTCTGCATCGAATGCTTGGATTTAACAGTATTGAATGATCATATATCTGAAACAATCTTGGGTTTGGTACTGAAATTACTGTCAGAAATAAATGATGCTGAGCAAATGCCGATTATTTTTTACAAGCATATACGTGCCTTGATATTTAGGTTTTTTTTTAAAGTTCATTTAGAGAAATATACTCATTTGTTATAAATGTTGGCATTACATTTTATTGATCCAATTTCAATGCTTTTTATTTCTTTTTATTTTTCTCTATAATAATATTAATTTGTTTGAAAATTTACATGTTAACATAGCATTATCGTTCAACGAAAAATAAGCAGTTTGAGAGCCAGTCTCTGAAGTTTAGTCAAAAATGTTTGAACATGATGATTTGATCATGAAAATTTAAAAATTGTGCATACCATCAGCATAGCTTAATCGTCTGGGAACTCATAACCAAGTATAGAGAACAAAAATATGCTTAAACTTAAAGGCATTTGTTGTTGGACTGTGTGCCAATGTATGATACTACGATATTGTTTTATATATATACGATATTTTTTCATACCATTGAGTTTTAAGATCATAAATATAGGTTTTAAGATGCAGAAATACGCTCTGATGCAAGTTCCAAGGTTTTTTGTTCCAAGATTGTTGTATATAACGGGAGTGAAAATTAATTTGCTCATAAATTAGTCTTCAACCAACAGTAGCAATGTATCATAACACAAGTTGTGTCTTATTTTTTTCTACATAGTACCAATCTAGATTTCCGAATGCTTTTGCGACAGTCCGTTCTGAATGGAAAGTACGCAATAAGGATGTTTACAACATGTTGCTGAAAGCTTGTAAATTTGAACAGCACGAGGTATTACCTTCTGTTTCTTGCAGTTATACATTTCATTTATCCTGTTTCCGTCGCTTTGATTTCGTTTTCTTTATTATATAAAGGTATAAAGGTATTTTATTGTTCATGTATTTATCACTTCGAAATCTATTGAGATATGTTATTTAGATTGAAACTTTCGAAGTGGTTGCAGTCGAGAAAAAAAAGCGACGTCGACGTCATAGCAGCACTAAAAGTAGTATAAGTGAGAGAGGGAGTCAACTCTCACTTCATGTTTCCAAACCTACACTGAAAAGAAAGCGTCCAGAAGAAATTAAGGTAATAAGCGAACATTTATACCAACCATCGTGGTTATTGTTTATCCTGAACTAGATACGCTAAATGCATAGTTTTATTAGTAAGTACTAAAGAATAATGGTAGTGGTTTCCAGCAGGAGCAGTTAAATTCAGTTCGCGAACCATTCAAAATCACATTCAAAGATGATCCGCTAGAGAAGTTGATTGATATAATTAAAGCTGGAGATTGGCCGCTTGCAGAAGCAGGTCTGGAAGTAAGTGTTTTTTGGCCTCTTGTAACTGATGTTAGTTCTAAAATTTCCTGAATGAAGATAATACTATTTTAAAAGTTCAATATAATTGGACATAGAAGTGTAATTAGAATTTTCTGACAACTTAAAAAACTGAAAAGAAATTCAATCAGTCTTCATCAATATCCGAATTGTTGCGTTACTGGCAAATCTTTGTTTTGTCTCTCTGCTGTCATCTTCATCGATACGTTAACGGCTCAACTGTGTGGATCTATTTGTAAATCACATACTTTGAATCCCATATCTTTTAGTTTAAATGCATCGAATGCATGATATAGATCTCCTTATCAGAATGATATGTGGGAACACTTAGGTGAGGAATTTTGACGATCGTTTTTCTTGCAGTCTGAATTTTTATTTCAGAAATTAACTTCATCTTCTTATTTGAAAAACAGAATAGCATCTGAATTTGAAATGTTTTTCTCAAAAATGGTTGCTATTGCGCTGGCAGAAGGAGCATGTCTTAAAACTGCAGTAAAAAATGCTTTATCACAAGTAGGTTCTTTGACTTATTCACAATTCAAAATTAAAAAGTAGGCTAATTCGAGTTTGTAAAAATTAGAAATGTTTTCTGAGGTGTTGCCTGACAAATTATGATCGGATCATAATTTGATCATAATTGTCTTTTTGTTGTAAAAAGTGATTTTCTGTTTTTGTCTCAACTTTTCTTCAGCTGCCAGTGAATGTCGATTTTGTGGTTTCTTTATTGAAACCTTATGCTGAATTGAAAAGCACCAGTCAAAGTCATGATGTTTGTCACTGGTCTTGCTTTAAAGATGAAGATACTGGAAAGTTTGAAACTAGGCGTCTCTTTGTACTGGAATTATTGGTTGCGAATCGCACTCTTCATGCATCGGCCAAACTGTTCCATCAGCTTTATGAGATTTTAAAGGAGTGAGTCGAGTTTTCAAGACTTAGATTTTTTTGAAAATACTTAGGGCACTTGATAAACGAGTCAAAAATGTTGATTTAGTTTTCTGAAGTGTTGCTTGTAGTGTCGGGTACTTGTCATGTCTAAACTTTATTTTGGATGACTGAAATGACTTTTTTTGGAATAATTACAAAATATATATTCATCAAAAATGAGTATTGATAGAAATCGCGCAAGCACTTGACCGATCTTTCGCTGAAAAAAATTTGTGTTTATAGAGTTACACAGAGAACTGATGAAGACAGTCAATATTTGGAGCAGCTGATAATCAATTTCATTGTGCGCTTGGTCAAAAATCCTCGTCAGTTTGCTTTTTTCAAATTTATTTTTTGTTTGTAAATATGTTGATAATATGTATCAAAGCGTAAGAAGTAGATGAACGGTATAATTGAAAATAGCCAATCCTCTAACTTCAGTATGAGGTTGTGCTTTACTGGAGGATGTACTAGCAGGATGGTTTGACAATGGTGATGATCTAAACTATTTTTTTATTTTCATTCAATTTTGTTTTGCTTGTTTATTTTGTTCACTGTAATTACTTAATTCCTATATCTCTATTATTTGACGTTATCTCCTCCTTGTCAAGTGTTAAATTAGAACCGTTTTGGTTTTATCTTCATTTTTTTTTAATCAAACTATGCCGTATAGTTCCAGGTGGTTATAAAGTTTTGGCGGATGATTTGCAACTAAATACAATCGTTGATATTGTTCGCCATACTCAAAATCATCGAATTCTTCGGGATTGTCTGCAGTTACTAACGTGTGCTGTGACTGTTTCGCCGGTAGGCTTTCAAAATTCTTTACCAAAACTTTCGGAAATTGAAGATTAGAAAAGATAACGTTGGAAAATAAATCATTAAAAATTTTCGGCTAAATTTTTTCGTTTTACAGAAAAACGTGTTGGCACATCTAATGTCTGTTTATACGTTTATGGGTGATGGAGTGCTGAAAAAGGATAACGATTTAACTCTGAGTGTAATTGAGGAAACGTTGAATGTATTATTTTCGACTGTTATAAGCGAAAAGGTTGTGCCAAAAAGCGCATTGAACTTAAAGTTTAATATTTTAAAGTCGAATTTTTTACAAGTACAATATAAAAGACTATTTCAACAAAATTGGCTTGAGAATTTGCGCATGATTTTATGTTCATATGTTGAATTATTTTGAAAACTATAGAAAACTCTTAATTTTGGGAATTGTTTCAGGATCAGTCGTTTCACGAACAACTGGTTACAATTTCTCGTCTATTTGCAACTTCGATTACTGACATTCCAGCGCATCGACGTGATAGAATTTTACGTGCTGTATCACGATCTGCCGGAACGCACTATGTTTGGACGGTGATCGCCATTCTTTTTGAGCGATATTGCCTAAATTGGCCAAAAAAGCCAGAGGGTTTGTTGCAGTAGTATATATTGGTATGATAGAAAAAGTCATATTAATCTCTCCATCAGATGATTTCTTTCTCCATCAGATCATTTCCCGCAAATAGGTTGTAATAGACAGTTTTCAGGCCGGACATCAGCTGAATTATATGAAGAAATGTCGACCATTATAATATCGGAATATGATGTCGTGGAACAACTCATATGCACCGCAAATATGATAAAATATATTATCAACTTGGGAGGTGATTTTTCAGCTTATGAAAGTTCAACTCTATTCGTTAGTGAGGAGAAAAAGTTTTCCTTGAAAATATTCGATCGAACGAAACATTCGGTGCAAAAGTTGCGACACTATCGTTTTGCCATATTGGGTTGGATTGCTAGGCTTTTGGAAAGTGACGAATTTAAAGAAAAGGTAATAATTTCTTGTTTAGACATTAATTTTTCTTTTTTCTTGGATAAAGTATCTCTTAAACTATTTATGTGAAACATTAAAAGTTTTCGCAAATCAATAGAATCCGTTTTTCGAAATGAAGTGACTGAAAGTTTCTCATTTTTCAGTTTCACTTGGTAGCGATTGATGATAATTCATATGATAGGCTACTTGAAACTGCGAAAGTTCTTCTATTTTGTTCCGTTGAACTTGATGATTTCGTCACAGCGGAAGCATTACATGCTGAGAAAAATAATGTTCAAGCAAGTTCAGGCCAACAAACTGCAAAAAATTGCAAATATTGGATTGCAGTCTCATCACGTGCAGATATCGTCATTGAAAAGGTTCATCCGGGCATTGTGAACTCAGCTTCTGTAAATAAATGAAAAAATCCAACTGTTGGTTCATAGGATTTCAAAGAATTCCTGAAATGGTGATTCTTATATCACTAATGGTCAAAAACCTTATTTCAGTTCCAAAATTTATTGCCAAGCAATGTTTGCGGGCATATTATAATGGATGTCCTAGAACAAACTGCAACTATGCCAAAATTGAGGGATCGAGCTCTACAGTTTTTTAATGCTAAACTGCTACAAGATGGTTCATATATATGTATGGTGAAGGAGAATCATCTGAGTAGCTTGATTAGAAAATTTAATTGTTGGCTAAAACCGATTGAAAAAGATTTTGATGTGAGTTTGTAGAAATTTCATGTTGTGTGCTAAATCATTTTTTTTTACCTCATGAGCACCAGCACTGTCAACTTCCTTTTATAATGATGGTAGCTATACAGAAGTAAACAGCGTGAATAGACTCCACAGTTGTAGTGCTGACTTTATTTTAGATTGATCTATGCCAGAAGGCAGCCCATACATTGAAACTTTTGGCACGCAGTATGACACCATCAACAGGTTTTATGTTGTTGTCTGAAACGCTAGAATTAACTGTGGAATTGGTAAGTACAATTTTTTGTTACATGTTTGTCAAAGATTTTTTTGTGGCATCATGTTTTGGCAAGTTAAGGAAATTGCTCAATAATTCAGTAAAAAATAGCCTTAGTCCGAAACCTTTTGAATGCATTAGAATTCAGCTATTATGCTATCATCCTACTTTTTTTTCAAAATTTAATATACTTTTTCTTTACTTTTTAAATCATTTTCTATTCTTAACACATATTGCAGCTAACCAATCGGACCATGTACGATGAAATGGTGATAGGTAGTTTACTTTTGTTAGGTAGTGAATTAATGCGCTTCCAACGCGTAAAAAATTCCATTCTATATTCAAATGCCTTGACAGCAGTATGCACTGAAATTCTTTCGGCGGTACTCGAAACACAAACTGTAACCAGAACTAGTTGTAATCAACAGGCTAATCTATCAAAAGATGTTTTGTGGGGACGAAGACGTCGCACTCAACACTCAATGAGTGGTCGTTATGTGAGTAAGTTTTTTTAATTTTTTAATATTTAAAAATTGATTTCAGATATAAGCTTAGACACTAAAAAGAAGAACGAATGAAAAATTAAGCGCAAATTTTATTCTTCTTCTGCTGTATTTTTTGTTAATTTCGTTGAAAAAATATTTTTCGGATTTATTTTTATTTGAAAATTCAATATTCAAAATGCTACACTTTAAAATTTTCAGCGAGCAGTGATGCATTATTGATTTGTTCACTGGTGTGTTTACAACGGATTTTAGAAAATTTTGCCGAGTTTATTTTTGAACATCTATCACCTATTCTTATTATTATTTCACGGTTATGTTGCATATGTGATTACATACCTTCAGCAGTAAGTTTTAAGCTGTTAATGATTTTGAAATTGGCATATATAATATTTATGAACAGAGTCGTATGATATTCAGCAGAGTTCTGTGCACTGTTGACAGAGAGTGAAAATATTTTTGAAATCAGCTTCCTAATTTGAATTTGAAATGAGATCTAAACAAAACTGTTTTAACAAGCCTCATATTTATGGTGAGAAATTGCAATATTTTTAGCATCTATTTGTAATGATAGATCTCGAATTTGAATTTGGGAATTTTTTTTTGACTGGAGTACAATAACTGACAATAGAATAATTTACCTAGAGGACGACTTGCATATTCACTATAAGATTTTTGTCCAGAATTATTTGTAATTACTTTAGCAGCTAAAAAAGGGAAATAGAAGCGAATAATTTATCGAGAATATTTAAGATAACTCAGTTTCCGTTCAGTCATTAGCGGTATTAACGTTTTCTCATATCGAATAAGCCAGAAGTATCCTGCCTCATGAAAGTTATTTAATTTGTCTACGGAAGGAAAAGGAGAATAAAGATGGCTTAGAAAATAAGAATAGGACCCGTTCTTATTTTCAAAAAAAAAAAATTTATTTGCTTTTTATGATTCTTGCTTTGTGCGCTGGTATAAATGTTCTGAGAGAAAGATTTTTCATACGAATTTATTTTTCAGAACTGTTCCACTCAACAAATGCAAACAACGAATAAATTTTCAGCTGCTCAGCAACGAATTTCCTCCGTATGTCGCTTACTGTCGAAAATGGAGTTAAGAATTGTTTTAAATGCTTTTAAAGAAGCCTGCAACACTTTGATAATTGAACCGGCAAGTTTCTGTTTTTATTACACAATATGTAATTTATTCATCCTGACTGTTTATGGAATCTCATTTGGCGATTGATTGGAATGAAAACTGCTATCTATCTGTTGATAATATTTTGGTGTTAATAACACTGATTGAAACATTGCAAAAATAGTCATGAAAACTTTAAGTCTACTCACTTCACTTCATAGGTGTGAACATAATACACATAATGTAAGCCACAAGCAATAGGCATATCCGTTTTTTATCTTTCCCTCCTTTCTTCAGTTTTTTTTTGTTCCTATCCCATCGTGGAACACTTTAAGAGAAGTCTATTTCAATAAACACTTCTCAAACGTTTTAGCGAAGTTTATAGTCACTGAATAAAATTTTTATAAAATTTATCGCAGAAATATATCTTGAAATCGCTATATTTGGAGTTGAAATTATATCCATGAAATTAAATGAAAAGTTGCTAAATATGAAATAATTAAAAAAGGCGTATTTCCATTTTACTTTTTATTTTTTATATTTATATATTTATAGGCAGCTATGGGTATACTTTTCAAAATGTTTTCATCAATTAATGACATTAAAAATAGAGAAATATTGTTAAAATTCGTTGTTCGCATATGTGATGTTTATTTCCATGGTCTTGACATGCGCTCAAATAATGCAAAATTAGGGGTGAGTTACTTGGAATAATAAATAATAAAGTATTTTCAAATAGAGACTTATCGCTTTTTTCTCTTCTGAACCGCAGCAATTTCATATAAATAAGAATATAAATTCGTAAAAGTTTTTGTTTCGCAGAAAAATGATGTCATCGATAACGCTGAGTTGATGATTATTGATAGTTTTTTGGAAGTTGTTGATAATTTATCTGAAAATGAATTCCGGATGGTGACCAAATCTATCTATATGCGTTTGCAAGAAGCTATATCACTTAAATCAAAAATCGAGGTGCGATATCGTTCGATTACAATATTTAGATTTTTAAATCGGTAGGTTGTTTCTCGAAATACTTCGGAAAAATTATCTAGAATTTCGAGCAATTACTTTCGTTTGTTAGATTCAATTTTTTTTATTTGTGATCATACTCTATATATTGCCTATCCTACACTAATACAACTTGACACCTGCAGTTTTTACTCTATTGCAACTTATTAGCGCAAATTCTTCTGCTCAGCAATTGTCGGTAGTCATTTCGCTGGTGGTTTTTTTTTTCAAATTAGTAGTAGCATCTGCTTTCCCTTAATGTACTTTTAGTTTCATGCATAATTGCAGTTTCTACGAGTCATACAAAAATATATCATTACCACATCTTGGTCGATTTTTTGGTTTTTTGCCAGATATCTTTTCGCGGTGCAATTGCCACATAGCAGGTATTACTTTTTTTTAGTTTTATACACCACTGTTTCAAGCTTTAGGTTTTAAAATCTTAGAGTTCTAATCAACATATTTATTTGCAGATTTTCACTCACTGATATTCTATGATGGCGAAGATTCAGTAAATACTATTGTTATTTCAGTGGATCATTTGTTAACCGTTGTGATTGACTTTGTTAGAAACTGTGCCCGTCATCCGGCATTCTTTACTTTGTTAGTTTTAAGCAGACTTTTATTTTCTTGTTTAGACTTTCTCATACAAGAAATCATTCATTAGTTTTTTTAAAACTATAGGCATTGTTTTTGCTTTTTTTCTAAACCAAATTTCATAAGTTTTTTCAGGGAACGCGCAAAAATCGTGCTGGATTTCTTGGTAGATGAATTAGAAAATAAAGATGTACCAGGACATGAACTCCGTTGCGTGCCTCATCTAGCTGAATGTTTCTATAATATTATCGATTGCCAAAATGAAGTTTTAATAGATACAATCAATAAAATCATGTTGAAAACGCGTAGTCAAAGTTCGAAGGTATTTTCTTCGCAATGAAAAGAAGAAGCGATGAATCATGTGTGGGAGGGGAAAAAGGCATCAATAAAAACCGAGTTTCTGCCAATTTTATTTTATTTCCAAAACTTCCCTGCTCTGATTTACATAGATTGCAATATGACTACCACTCTATCAATCCTGCCTCCAAATGTCAATACAATTCGAAGGATGAGGGTATCGTTTTGACTGTAATGAAAGAGACATGTCATTCTAGGTTCGTTACCGCACTTTGTTGGTTCTGAAATGGTTATTTGAGCGTATGGGTGATGCGGTTGCACCAGCGTTACCGTCGGTGTTACCATTACTAAGTGAACTTCTTGAAGGTATGTTTTCTTTAGTTGGAAAATTGTTTAGTGGAGGGAAGTGGAATTACGTGCTTTGACCACTCCCTCCACGGATGGGTACATGGTTGGAAATCCCATTTTTGTCACTGATCGTTCCTTCTGTTTATATTGTATCTCATTTTCAGATGATAATAGAAAAATTGAAATGCAGTGTGATGCAGTGATTGGCGTTTTGCGGAAGAATTTCGGAGAGGAAATCACGGAGGGATATACTTAGTCTTTTAGGCTATATACTAATATGTCGTTTCATGTGTACTTTATTGATGAATTGCACCTCGGAATGTCGGTATCACAAGTCATAATACTTTAGGATTTACTGTCAAAATACTTTTAAGCTTTCTCCTTTTTCAATTCATATATCACTGTGTAGTGCTCCTTTCTTATCTTTGCTGTACCTTTTTGTTAATTTCATCGTTTAAGCCTTCGTTCTGAAGCCTACTGATTAATCCATTTCCTCACTTTGTTTCATACCTCTGCTCCACCACTGTTGATTTAGTTGTTTAAGCTTGTTATGTTCTAAAACCGAATCATTAAAACTGGTGAAGTTTGATTTGTATCCTTTTTAAACTAGAAAAAAGATTTCTGATATTTAGCAAAATTATAGCACATCGAAATATGAAATTATATAGAATCACAAAGTCTATCAACAATAGATATTTCGTCAGCCAGTGAAAAATTTGAACACTTACTGAAAAAATAAATAATATTATAATAAAAGTTTCCTGAAAAGGAGCACAGTAACAAAGGGATTGCAACCTTCGCAAAAACTTTTTATTGTTTATTTGTAACAAATTATTCTTGCCTACCGAACAAATGTGGTTTAGTGCAAAACCTAACAAATAAAGTAATAGTGTATGATTTAACAAAATAAAATAATACTGAAAGGGGAGATATTATTTGGGAATTAAAACAATGTGATAATCTTCACTCTTCCGGAGCGGAAAGGATATAATCAACGCTGAATCCAGGAATTTTCGGCGAAATCAACTTCATGTCCAGGCGAGTATGTTGGACATCAGTCTTATCTAGCGAGAGCTTCACTGTGACGCGTTGGAAATTTCGTATTTCTACACCTTCCGCTACTAACGAGTCGTCTGTTACTTGATAATTTGATCCGCTCGGAAAAACAACGATTGATTCAAAGCCATAAGCTGGTACAAATACCTGCAAAAAATAAAAGTGTGACGTTTGATCAGGTGAAATATGAGGTGAAATAAATTACATATGTCGATAAGTTAACTTAAAGATCTAGAATCTGAAAAATAGATTCCACGGACGTCACCAATCACCTGAATGCCGTTTTTCCGGATTCCCATCACAAAACCATCATGCAATTCAGTGCGACCTTTGAAGTAAAACAATGTATTCAGCAAAACCGATGCCCTACCCGCATACTGTGCTTGCTTATGTCTGAAAGAAATGAAAACTTCATCCATCAAATATTCGAAAAAAAAACATTTGAGGAAAAAAAGTAATTTGGCAAAAACAAGTACTCCTAACATTCCTATGCCTCCCTGGTTTGCTGAGATGCATATTTCAAGGATTGCAATAACTTTTTTTCTTGTATCACTCTTTTTTCTATTTGTATCACTCTAAATACGATATGTTCAGTAACTTTTTGAACAAATGAATTTTAAAATATAAGATTTCACTGACGACCTATAATTGAGGTTGTTGGCAATTTTGGTGACCAAGTCACCTTTCAACATTTCGGGAAAAGTAGAATCAGCACAAATTGAAGCAGAAAGCAGTCGATGAACCATTATATCTGCATATCTTCGAATTGGTGATGTGAAATGGGTATAAATTGGAGCAGCAAGTCCAAAATGAACATACTGCTCGATTGGCAACGATCCTAGAATAAATTGTACCATATATTGAGCTAATAAAGTGATAAAATTCAGAATGATATCAATCTTCAATATCTTTCGTGTTGTCTTCAAACATAAAAAACATGAATGGTGAAAGATGGAGCTCTGAGACAATACTTCTACAGATATTTGATAAAAATTTGAAAGAAATTCGCTAAAACTAAATTGGGAAGGAACTATATTACTGTTGGTTTTATGTGATGAAACTGCATAAACGGTAACCTAATTTGAAAAATATCATAATTAAAAATTTAAGAAAAAAGAAAACCTGAACAAAAATACACAGCTTGAGTCATACAACGTGTGGTTAACATTCGGAAAAGTGTATTCAACATTGTATTACTCGGATCCATGGCTTTATCCAAACTTTCCGAAAGCGCTTTTCCACTTTCAACGTTCATTTTAAAGCCTTTTGCTTTTGCCATCTAAATTTAGAAGAACCTCTGAATGTTTTTCAAAGATTTCAATACATAAATGGATGGAAGAAAATGAACATAAAAATCTTTCACTTACATCAATCACTGGCTTATAATTTTCTTCTGGTGGAATTGGATGTCGCCGAAGCAAAGCACAATCTGGAAAATCCACCGTTATGCGTTCTGCAACTGAGATATTTGCAAGCAACATAAATTCTTCAACCTGTAATGAAAATATAGTGAAAGAAAATAAGTTTGGAAAACTGACAATACATACTTGTTTTTAAATAGGCAACACTTATGCTAGGGACAGATTAATAGGTACAGCTAATAAGGTATGTAATAATAAGCCTGACCATGCTGTTCGTTGCTAGCACTTTTTTCTCCTCCACATTGATAGGGTCTTTAGTTTCGGAATCTATGTTAAATCTAATTTCAGAAGAGGCCAAGGCTAAAGCACCGTTAGCATGACGTTTTGCCTTTAGCTTCTTTGATAGTGCCAATAATGTTCGCAATCCCATAGTGACAGAATCTGACTGAAACAAAGTCATTAAAATAAAGAAAGATTAACTGCCCACTGATCCTATTGAAAATTCAAGCAAATTTTATGTGAACCACTCTTAAATTTATCCATCAAATCACCTATAATTTCTGTATGATGCAATAAAATCTAATGACAAAAAGAACAACAACTTATGAAAAGAACAAAGATGAATTACTACATCTTTCACTGGAATCTAGAATCTTCCTTCTCATTCTCTTAAAGTTTTAAAATCATTAAGACTACAAATTTGTACACTGCCTAATATTTACAGCTGTGCACTGATATCTATTTATCATATCAAGCACAAAACACACTAACCAGAGAAAGATCATCGATCTTATTTTGAGCTTCTTCATAAGTAAGTGCAGCACTAGAACGTATAAGAGATTTATAAAACTTGATATCAATAATATCAGCATCAGAGGTCAATACCCAAATCACAGAAAATGCAAGACGATCGACATTTTTGCGAAGCGAACATAAATCACTTGAAAGCAGCTCCGGCAACATATCAATACGCCTAAAACATTTTAAAATGATCAGAAATATGACAGAAACTTTAAAACACACTTATTTTTGTCACTGAGGTTTCTTAATACCTATCAAAAATTCAAACAATTTATCCATCAATTTTTCTTTTAAATGTCTCACTATCAGCAATACAAAACAGTGTGAACACTAACAGTTTAATCAGTTTTGCAAAAATAATATTCGATTTTTTTGGAGATGGAATGATTCGTTATGCAAGCTGATGGTTACTAGAACTCAATCTAGTAGTCATGCCGATATCGAAGATGCATTACATTCATCAAATAAAAAAGATACAGTCTTGATGATAATACAATCTTGATGATAATTGCATTTTAAGGAATATTTTTGAAGAATGAAGTGAGAAGCTCACTTGTCACAAAGATAGACAGTCGTTCCTCGATGAGCTGCTTCTGCGTCTATTGCTGTGCCCGGCCTAACAAAATGCGAAACATCCGCAATATGAACACCAACCGGAAATAATGCTCATTAGATATTTTGAAATTAAAATAAGGCTGAAAAATGAAGAATAAAAAGTTAATGATGAAATAATAACCTCATAGCGATCTGATGCAATCTGAATACAATGAAAAGCATCATCGATATCAGTACAACCGGGAGGATCAACCGAACATATTGTCAATGAACGAAGATCTTTTCGATGATTTTCGTTAGGTGCACACCAAGGAATCTCAGGTAAACATGCGTAAACTGCATCCGAAAATGGTCCATGTGGTACGTCGTGCTCTAACAACAGTACCTTCAAAACAAGTTTTTCTATTTCCTTAAAAAGCAAAATACATGAACCAAAGATGTGAAGTAAAGACTGAAAAATGTAGATATTCATACAAAAATATGTTTCGAAATGAAAAACTAAAAAATCAAGTATTGCCTTCAAAATCATACTTCATTCTCCGTTTCTCGATCGCCTGCTACGCCAATACTTCTTACATAATGTCCAATTGGATAACGTGAATCCCTAGGCCAACTATCAATAGCAACAATAATCCGCTTTCCTCTTAAACGTTCAGTCTGACGCGTTTCAATTCGTATACGAGGTATAAGTCGTTCTGCCGCAGCAAACAATACGCGTGTTGAATCTGCAAATGAATTTTGAAAATATAACATGATATTATTCATTTTATGTAGATGCTTATTCATTTAACAAAATTAATTATGACTATCTTTAACACAATATTATTTTAGATCACTATCCTACCCGTTCTGCAAATCCAAAAAGAAAATCTTCCCTTGTCTATAAGTAAACTAAGGTAGTGGAAAACAAAATGCTTTCATCTCAAAAATATTACATGAAACTCAGCAACTCCTGATGCGTAACACTTACCAAAGAAAAAATGCGATGTATGAATATTAATAATTTATTTTGCGGAAAACATTTTGAAGATATTAATAAGATTACTAGAACGAGAAAAAAAAAAAACATCAGTTGGCTTTGGAGAGAATATCAATCATTTTAGGGAGCAAAGGAAAAGGAATGTTTAACATGACGTTCAACCTGAAAATTATTTCAGTGAAAAAAGGCAACGAGTAATTTTGCAAAAATTATGGTTGAGTTGTCGTAAGAGAATTTTGAACAAACTAAGCAATGACACACTTGTAACAGACCTTTCACAGCAGATTGCAGAATCATCCCACAATACTGACGCCAATTTCGTTTAACAATTCCAACTACTCTAGCAGATGGAATCTTTTCCTCCATTCGCAGCCTTTTTGGCTCGATTTCTTCCTCATCTTTGTCATCTTCTTTATCGACCGCATCTTTCATTTCAATTTCTTCCACATCTCGTAACTTAAAAAAAAGCTTTCTAATACCAAAATAAATCTTTAAAATGAATAAATAAAGCTGGAAATCTCACAAATCAAGTGTTCAATAAAAGCTGAAACCTTCTCATCAAAAAAGAGATTTCTCAAAATTTAAACAGAAAAAAAGCTAAACAAAAAGACTGATGACTATACTTACTCGAATAACTTTCTGTGGGCAAGTCCACTCGGATTCCGGTAACAGTTCCACAGCAACGGTATCGCCGTTCACAGCACGATTCATATTAATGCGTCCCTGAATAAACCACGTGCTCCCCTCATCAATATGAACATGTGCTTCCATGTAATTTTCGCGCGACACCTAAAAAATATCTTTGAATGTGTAATACACTTGGATCCGCAAATTTTGCTAGCTGCACGATAAATTCTTGAAACTCCTAGAGCACCTGGAATTTATTTTAGAGAAACTAAAATAGATGTTTCAACATATCCCCAAAAACTTGATGAGAGTTTATAGTAACTAATTTAAAATTACTATCTCGAATTACATAATCTCAATAAAAATCCATTCGGAAAGATAAAAATCTTATAGACACATGGAAGCAATCAATACAAACTTGAAATGTTGCTTTCTTAAATTTTCCACTTCGAATCCCATTTTGTATTATGTCATGAGCCAAATACTCTGGAAACAAAATCCGTGTTCGATCCTCACTCTCTGCACTGTAAGCAGCCAGTTTATTGAGCAAATCAGCATTATCTTTCATACCTGAAAATAAAAAGTGATTTAAACTCCTAATGCATATATTAGTGATAATTCCTTCAAACATGGAAAATATTAATCATGAAAGCAAAAATATTCATAGTGTTGAAGCAATAACTATATAATAAAAATAAAAGTAAAAAGATGGTCATGAAAATTTCAACCTTCAATATACTCCTGTAAAGTGAAAACGTTTTCAAATTCCTTTTTTAACCGATCCTTGCTCACAACAGTACCACATATGATTATCGGAATTATAGAAAACTGTTTCCAATGATTTTCATAAAACTTTGCACACATTACCAACGATTTGGTTAACCTTAAAAATTGGTCTTTAATCAATTACACAAAAATAACTAATGAATAACAAGAAAATGGATGTAGAAACAAAAAACATCACTAAATGAAACAGATTTCCTAAAATTGCGTATATTTTTTGTACAAAAGTTACCAAAAAACAATAAAACTACTTCGAAATTACCTATCTTCTTCGCTTTCACCTGTGACATGGTTAAGATGAGTTTCTGAATGAAGATCATCCATGAATACGTAAGTTCTCCTGTCCGGACTTTCGTAACACAATGTATACATTGACTTATAAGATGTTGGGCTTGATTTTTTAACATCTTCCCAAACAGTTTGCGTAATAATGAGATTCCTAAAAAAGAAAAGAGAACATTTGATAGAAATTACACTGCATAATAACCGAAAAATAAGCATTTCTTTAACATCTCATTATATATAGCGCTAACGTGAATTTCAGGTTATCGAACAAATGATAGAAACGGATTATCGCCGAAGAATCAAGAATGACAGCGTGTTTGATAGGTACCACAGACGAAATCTGGACAGTCAAATCGGTGAGAAAATGACCTTCAGTTGGTTGACAACTTCTACATGATTCCAGTCCACAACCAATATCGTTTCTTAGATATTGTTCATGTACTTGCTGCAACAATATAAAATTAATCTAACTAATATAGCATATTGGCACAAATTAAAAATTTTCAATATTAAAAACAGAAATTGGGAAATCACATCTTCATATTTCCAGGAAAGAGATTAAAGCTTTCTGAAGATTAAATCTTACTTTCACAATTTTACCGCTTCTTGTCTTCCTATAAAGCACATTCAGGACGCGCTTACTAATTCCACTTTGCTTTACATTAAGTTCAAGCATTTAGCTGCAAAATGGAAGTTATAAAATCAACTATTGTTCATTTTTTCGACAAACTTTCCATCTATATTTTTTGCTCACTCAAAATGTAAATGAAAGCAATTTACTTGAAGATTGCTTTGAAAATCTGTTAAAAATAAAGAAAATAAGTTAGATAAAATTAACTGAACAATGCGAAAAAAAAACAAGCAGAATAAGTTAATTTATGCAACAAATAGCTCAAACGCTCAATGTTTAATGTACAAATGATTGCTTCTGGCAACAACTCAGTGAGATCGCAATATATGTACAAATAATTCTGTTGATTCAAAATATGAATGGTACAAGTAGTAGCATTTCCACTTTCAAAGTGGCATATATAACATAACAATCACGTTCATAACCTCGATCGCATAACAATCATATGCGACTATCCTGCAAATTTTATAAATACAAAGACTTTAATCTAACTTCTATGGTTCCACTGCTTTTCATGACTCACTGTCATAGTTATAAAAACGCTGTAGTACACCTCTCTGACCTAAAACGCTCTGAAATATAGAAATTTAATATCTCAAATTTGTTCATTCTACACAACTAACAGTCAATACCACTGACGGTCTGAATTTTCCGTTTTTTTTTTCATTCTTCCTCATTTCCTCGGAAATGTGCTTAATTTTCAAAACGGAACATAATCCTAGTAAAACAAACTAAAACATTAAAATGCAAAAAGCACTTGCCGTTGCAACAGCGGGCTCTTCATCACTTGTTGGTGAAGAGCCAGCTCCTTGGGTGCCACTTTTGATCGGTAGATATAGTTTGAATTCAGCAGGAAGCTCATCTTCAGAGTACAATCGGTCGGCAAAGTAAATTCGTCGAATCCGACAATTCGCGTGGATCTAAATTTACCGAGATCTCTAAAACTATATGAAAAAGTGAGCAAACAAATAAAAAACATCCTCATCCAATAAGAATGGTCAATGAAGAATTAAACCAATTTAATATAATGATTATAAGTGATTAACTTCATGAACCTGTATGCGAAGAGTTTCGACAAAAGCGGTACCATATGCACGTTTGGTAAAATCAGCCAAATTGAACTGAATCTGGTTCCATCCTTCGTCCAATCGCATGGGCATTGTACAAATGAATGGCTTGACTCGAGTATTAGACTGGAAATTAGATGCCCGAAAACGTCTCTTAACACCTTTATCATCGAGTATCTGCAAAATTATAGACTAAACATACATCATTACCGTCAGTATAAAAGACGTGAAAATCTTCTTGCGCTAGAAAGTTTACAGGAAAACTAATGGATGAATCCGATCACCACTTGAATCGGTCTTATTATCAACCGCTGAAAAGACAGCTACATTCCATGAAAACGATGAAAGAAAAGCTCTAATACTTACCTAACTACCTTTAACAACAATTCGATCAATGAATAATGCTCGGACATTGTAATTTCTTTTTAGTAAATAACAATATCAGTTAAAATCTGCATCGAGAAAAGAAGCTACAGTGCGTTTAAAGATAAAATAAAATATCGAAGAACTGACACAATAAGTAAATTACAAACCTGTACTTCAAATGTGAAATATTTTTTCATGTTTTTAACAATCATCACCAAATATGGCAGTTTGATTCCAAGTGTCTTCTTAGGGTCTAATGGACATGAAATGTATGTAGTGCTGAAAATTTTCGAGAAACCACATTTTGAATATATTCAATCATTCCGAATCATACCATTTCACAGTGATCAGAATACTGTTCCCTCACTGAAGGAAGAATCGGATGAAACATCATACAATGTCAATCGCAAATATCTCACCTCACATTTGTGCCCAATATTTCGATTATTAGTGACTGTATATCCTCATCGTTAATCCGTTTTATATGACCATTCCGAACCTGAATTACATGAAATATACCAGAAATTGATGTATTTAATTATTTCAATCTAATTTAAATAAAATGTTAAACCATGATTTAATCTCTAATACCTGTAGAAAAATAAATTTAAAAATTGAAAATAACTTTTTTGTCCCAAATTTGTAGCGGTTTGCTTCCAATACTGTATAGTACAGAGAGTAATCCGCTTTGAAATGTATTATGAAACATATGCACTGAAAGCAGGAAAAGTGATTGAACGTTTTAAAGTTAAATTTTAATTTCGGCTAGAAGAGAAAAATCAAATTCAAGCCGTCACATCATGTATGGATGTTATCAGATATACCTTTTACCTGCTATGCAACTGTTATGCCACACTGTGAACCATTTGGATGAAGAAAGAGAGAAGGCCAGGGGGTTACTCACATAGTCTTTAACAGATGCGGAGCAGAGATTGAGAGTGTGGAAATTTTACGATGCTGAAAGAGCGAGAAAGAGAAACATTTGGATGTGAAGGAATTTATAGCAGCAGTTGTTAAGTACAGTAGGTTAGCACTTGACTTATGTAAAGTAGAATGGGATGAAAGATTGAGAGAAGTGTCAATAAATTGCGATCTTAAATTGTAGAAGAGATTGAGAGTGAGGGAAGAGAATGATAGTGGGGACGAGTGTTCACAATTACGTCAGTTATCAATTCGTGTCCATGGCGTGAGTGCTGATTAATGATATGCTCACTTTTCCGAATTAGGCATAGCTGATTACAGTTGGAAGCGATCAATGCCTTGACAGTCTCATTTAGCAATATGTTCATATCCGAGTGATTGGATAACCTGTAATGCAGTGAGAAATGAGCATAAACAAACTAAGAACTTCTTTATCTTGGAATTGAATTGAATTTATTCCTGCTAGGTTATGTGTGTACATGTTTATTTACGCATTATTGCCACTTTTTCAGAATTATTTATTGTTGCAGAGGATGAGAAGTGGTGAGGATGAGATTATGCCGTCAACTTCGACATTCCTATTTCCGGATTTGATGACACGGGATGAGCTTGTCGCTATTTTAAAACGTAAATTCAGAAGGATAGGTGTCAATACAAACAAAATAGGCAAGCTTACAGACGATGAATTATTGCAACAGTTCAAGAAATTCACAATGCCGAAACCTCAACGAAAGGTCTTCTCTTTTCTTGTAACCAACTCTTTTCATTTCGCATTTTCTTTCCTTTTCTTATCCATCGAAATAGAAGGCGAAGAATATTCGTTCATAGAAAGTACTGGCAGTAAGTTGAGAACATTACTGCTATATATTAGTTCGAAGTCCAAATTGTCGATAGTGTTAAGCAGTGTCACCAAAATATTTCATTTTCAGTTCTTTCTGCCAAGTTCATACACAGTTGTTTTGAAATACGTCACTTGATAGCACTGTAAATTAACCAATAAGAGAGTCATCGAAGATTTATTAATTTATAACAAGCTTGTTTTCTATGCGAATTTTTTGTTTTACAAAAAGTTTTTCAACACTTGCACTTTTTCACTCATGTTTCAATTAAAACTTTTTATTCAGAAATAATGGAATGATCCTACATTTTCCTTATGCTGAAACTAATAATATTTTTAGGAATGTATATCTTATGCAAATAATTCAGGGGAAGTATCTGTGGCTAAATTGGAGGTTTAATTTTCTTCCTTTTTTTGACAGTTTTCATTGTCGGATTGCTAAGAAATAACTACGCTGAATACACTAATAAGTCCAATTAAGATTGCAGTTATTTGAAATAGAATTACTTATCATATTAATTGAAACTGACTTATACATACATACATTTTCAAAATGTGCAACTTTGACAACTAGTAGATTCTTTTTAACTTTAAATTCAACTTCATTATGCTTTTTAAGCCGAAGAAAAACTCTTTTGTTTTGTTGTATACATTTGCTGATGTTTCAGAATTCGGGATCAGTATGCAGTAGAGTTAATCCGATTAACAGGCGGCGAACTGCTTGCGGAAAACGGCTTGCCGTCAACAGCGTAGAGTGTCATTCTGTAGAGAAAAATGCTCGGAAACATTCTCCCATACGATTTCCATAATTTATAAATAGTAAGGAAGAAGCACATTCGATTATAAAAAGAAAAACGAGAAATGGGATTTGCTCTTCACTTTTTTTCAGATTTTTTTAATGGGGCTTTGAATCGAAATGCTTTCATGTTACATTTATTATGGCATTTTAAATTATTAGTTTTGAAATTTGTGTATTTTGTTCATATTCAATAAGCAAGTGATAGTTATGTGATGTAACTGTCATTTGAAGATGGGTAGCATTGTTCATGATGCTAAGCCTCATTTTATATTTCTATGAATTATGTAATTTCTAGAAAACGGAATTTTTTTCTTATTCTTCATATGCTAAAATGCTATGATCAATGATAAATAAATCTAGCACCGAAAAAGTTACGTATATTCGAAAAATTTCTTCAGCTGCAGTATATTTTTGAAATTTGTTTCAAATTTATGCTATTGTGACATAAATCTAAAATTGTGCACTGGCTTTTCAATTAAGTGTGCGTAATTCTTGAACCTTTTATGGATTGCAGTTTTTTTCCTCTCATCAGTCTTTATTCACAATTTCGTTTCTTCCTCACTATTTTTGGTCCTGTTGAATTAGTCAAATAAAAATAGCTGATGATACTAAGTACTAAATAATACTGCTAAAAAGTAAATAATAATAATTAACATTTCAATCAATATTCTCTTATTTGTGCAATATCACATGATCCAAACAGTTTTACATTTATGTACATTTTATGATCTCTTTGCTATTATCATTCTCTATTTTACTTTTTTTTCTACTCTTTTTTTGTTCTTGGTTTTTTTTGATAATATCTTCTGTAATTTGTTATCGAATTTTCGGAACATATTTTGTGAAATTGCTTGTGATTTTAAATAATGAAGTGATTATTTAATCTCTCAACAAAATCTCACATAATTTCAGTGTTCTTGATTTGGATAGATTCAGTAATTAGGGAGAAGTCTTTTATCCTTAATTACCAATCTTTGTATTCTATTTTAGCGGACGAAGGAGTATCGGGTGCTTTTGAAATGCTAGCAGTGAGCCTATTTCCAGAGACTTCTGATCTGTTGCAGGGTCCAAATTGGAAGAACTTGTTCATCTACACGACTCACACTTCGAAAGCGGTCATGCCAAAGGAAGGGTCAAATGAGATAACCAAATGATTACAGTCTTCCAATTCTACACTGAAACAAAAACAGTGAAGTAATTTATTTGTATTGTTGCTTTACATGTTCCACTTATCACGCCTTTGGTTTTTACTTGTATCGGCAAATTAAAAGACTTGCTAGCTGTGGTTTTTTGTAGTGCTGAAATATGATTGCCATTATTTTATACATACCAGTAATAGGAACTTTGAGCCAACCTGAATTATTGCTACATTATATACTAAGATTTTTGATTAGTTATTTAATTTTTTTAAAATTTAATCTAAGAATAGTTATTTGATCTTGAAAATTTAATCTAAAAAATGTGATTTAAATTTGATTTTAGGAATCTCTTTTTCTGGATTTTCATTTCCAAAATTTTGATCTGGTTGTGTAGCTACAGTTTAACTTAAATGTGGTAACTAAATATTAAACTAGGGTCATAAAGGAACTGCAGTCGAGAATGTTTGTAGGATTGAAGCATCGTAGCAAGAGACTAAATAAAATATAGTTAGACGATAATAGATAAATGACAAAAACAGCATATCCCGTAATTAGTATAGTGAATTCAACGAGTAAGCAAATTAATGAGATAGCGACATGATGCAACTGCGTTAACTAATGCGAAAATTTCTTAGTCTTATGACATGAGAATGACATCACTTGACTATAGCCTTAGGCCGAACAACAGGGAAAAGCCCAGCATCTAGCATCTTTAGATAAGAAAACGGAAATTTTACAAAAAGATTTGGGAAAAGCATTTTAATCGTAAAGATTTAAATTGCATGGTTGTCAGTCTTCTGATCAATAATATTATGCAAATTGAGGTCATGAGAGATTACAATAGAAAATGAAGGAATTTAAGTGGAAAATAACGAAGGTTTGATTGCAATAATTGTTATGTAATTTGTATTAGCATCACAAGAAGCAATCGCCATCCATGAAGTGTGTATTAGCAATTGTAATGGAATCATATTGCATACTCTTCGGTTCCTTCTTCATCCACATCTTCCTCAGTGCTCGTCGATAGGGTCGGAGTAAAATTAAATTAATTAAAGCATTTGAAAGTGGATGAATGCCAATAATTGCTTCGCCAACAGTGAACCACATCATGTTTATATCGATTGAAAACATTAAAAATAAATCTGAAATGTCATCTGATTTTGAACCGAACATTTGTTAAGCAATCATTCTTTGGCAGTGAATAATAATGGGTGACATTAATTATCATTTGCAATTATTCATCATTGCCAAATCTTCAACTGAAGAAATCTTTAATTCAATCAATCAATTCCTATAAAAGGGAGGACTTATGCAAAGATTTGTGATAATTGCTTGAAATGATAATTACTGCACATTTACTTAGAAGTGAACTATAAAAACAATGATTTCCTGATTTTAAGAGATTTAGGATGTTTATACATAAGAATCAGTCGTTTATCGAATACCAACTGAAGGGATATTTTTCAGCATTGTTATTTATATTTATGACGAACATTTGTTGATTAGCAAGCTAATAAAAGCCAGTGATGGAAAGAAGTTGCACATGTGGTAGCGCCGAACAGTTTGAAGTGTATTGAAATTTGGTCTTGAGATGAAAGATTGAAAAGGACAAACTTGCAATGTAATATGGCGTAGCCAAGACAAGTGGCATGAATGCTTGCAAAATATATGTGTAAACAATGGCCTTTTGTTGTTGCAGATGTCTCGGGTTCAAACTTCGTCCACTTTGCTTCCTCGCTGCTTTGGTTTGTCTTCGAACGATGAATGAGAGCACCAGCAAATTGCATATGAATGAGAAAATAAAAAATGACGGCGATAATACGAAGAATACAAACTGAAATTATTATTAATTAATCAATTTGCCGTTTTGAAATAAACCAGAAGAGCTATTTGGTGCAGTTTAATCAGCCTGTGTAACTGTAAAAATGTACAGGATGAAATTATTTTAATGCTGCTGAATGCATAAGATTATAAATTTCATATGAAATATTGTAAGAATAGCAAGCGTACAGAATAATTAACAGTTTATGGAATGTGCTTAATTTGTTGAGGTTCAATATTCAACTTACTATTGCATTGGTAAGTAGTAATTAGCTATAATAAATAAGGTTTGGTGAATTATTGGAAGGAATCCATAATCTAGCAGAATATTAGGAAGGAAGACAAACTTATCACCACTAATATAAAATCAAACGTGACCTTACTTGCAAAATTATTTAGAAACTTGACAGAAGCATTGAAAATAAAGTTTGAGAAGTGAGGTGCCAATCAGTTTAATTTGGCAATGTATCTGATCATAAAAATAATTAACTTTTCACTGACTGCTCCTACTTTCGATTTTGAGTTCATTGACCAAATTCACTGCATTTTGAAGCTTTGTTGTAAAATACGTGAAAAAAGTTAAAAAATATGATTATCTTTGATTGGTTGCAAAATTATTTTGCAAGCTATTGGAAACTGTTTTCTAAATATTTGCGCTTATTCCTAAAAAAGAGAGACAGCGGAAAAGTGAAGCAGCTGCAAATATTTATTCTCTTCACTCCGGTACTTTTAAATGATATTAATCAAAAAAATAATGACTACAGTAAATTACTATTATATTCACTGCTTCTTTTTTCATTTCTTCTAATTTGATATGAACAGAAATTTGAAAGAGCCTCTAACACAACGCGACTAATCATTTCGATCTTAGTCTTCCAAAATTTAAAAATTTCAATTTTTCTAATAGCAGAAGTAACTGTGGTGTCATTAAATAACGCGGTAAAATTACTCTTACCTAAATAGTAATTATTCACACATGTGGAATGCATGTAGCAGTGTCCAGTTTGTGATAGTTTTTAATTCTTATAAGTCCTCAATTCCTTTCTCACTTTCTTCTTACAGTTCCGAATTCGGAATATACAGAAGTGAATTAATGTTCGATGACCGATCTGCGAATTCTTTTCTTGTTATTTTACTAACGATCTTTAATTTGATTTCGAATATGAGAAAGTTCACAAGAAAAGAAACTCACAACATTAGTATAAGGTGACATTCGTATGTACGCGAATATGAAATCATAGAGAAGGACGTCTTGAAGGCAAAGGTCGTAGATGGCAACCAACATTGGAATCACAAAACACGTCAGGATTATCACTGTTAACGTTTTAATGCTCAAATCACAGTTATGACATACTAGTAGCCATTGGTCAATGGCCAGCACCGGAAATAGGAAGTAGATAACGTATGTGGTATTGTAGATAACTGTGCGCAAGAAGCTACATAGAAATAAGCTGAGTTTAATGTTACCGAATAGCATGATTAAATACACTGAATTCAGCATCAAATATCCGAAGAGTCCATACAAATTAGCGATTGTCATGCCTAAGGTTGGGTACTTAACACGTGCCGAAATGAGGCCCTTTTTAAGGCCCATATATGCTAATAGGATATTTGGTGGCACAGCCAAAGAATACAGGGTGATATAAATGATTGAATTAGGCAAATAGGATTCCAATGCAGGCACTTGATCATTCAAGCCTGATGCATTCTCCACCTCCTTGTAAAATGACATCCTGAAATTTGAGAATTATCTAACAAAAACACAAAAAAATTAGTAACAGGTATAAGCTTCAATGAACTGGCAACAATCTAATTCAAGTCATTTAGCAACTAGCAAGAGATAAAAGAGAAGCAAGTAATTTTTAATTTTGCTTCAATTATTCACGATCAGGAGTCTATAATATCATGCGTTTCGGCGTTGAAATTTTTTGGGATGTTAGTTATTAGCGTAATTTAATTAATTCAAGTGATTGAAGCACCGTTGTGCTTCAGTGATTCATTCGCTTAACTATAGTAATGGATTATTGCTTGAAAAGCTTAAAAGTGCTGATTTTTAAATCATTGCGTTTCGCTGCTGAAATACTTATAAAATAATTATTGCAAAAGTTTCTTTGATATGTTTATTATTTTACAAATATTAATTTGTGAAAAGTTATATGTAAAAATTATTATTATCGAATTGCTTTTAAGAAAACAATTCATTTCGGCTTTAATTAATCATTAGCCCCTAATCGATTACATTATTTTATCTTATAATTAATTATGAGCTTTAACAAATACTTGTAGCAAATTGCTCGGGTTCGATCACTATGCACATAACATAGACAATAAAGAACAATGAATTGAAGAAGTTTGCTGTTCCATCATTAATGGCAGTACAGCAGCTACTTGTATACTTGTTAAGTGTGACTGATTTCACGAAATTTAAAACCGAAAAATGAAATGTTTACGTGATCGAGGAATAGGATCATAAACAATGATGCTTATTCAGAAAAGTCCACGAAGATCTCAGTTGAGTGCAATTCCATGATTTGTCGGTTGTGCGAAAATTTATACTTTGCTAATGATTCGTTGATTATGAAAATTTTTTTTTTCATCAATTGCTATCAGATTCTTCTTGAATCTCTTTGACAGATAACATTGCTTAAGGTTTGCTCAGGTATGCACAAAATAAGCAGCTTATTTTGTAACGTTAAATTTAGCAAAATTAACGCAGTTGCAGATGTTACACAGGTAGCGTAAATATGTGCAAGCTGAATTTAAAACGATATATCATACTGTTGAAGATAGCGCTCAAAGAATTCATCATAGTGGGAGTGAATTCAAACATTAAGCTTAAACACTGAATTATTTCTCATCCATAAAATCCATAGTGCAAATGCACAGTAAGTGATCTCTTCGCTTCATATCCTGCTAATAAAAATTGTTAATTCCAACAATTTAAATTTTATAAGATTACAGAAAATTTAAGAGAGGAAAAGAAACAGCATTTCAATATCAAATATTCCATCTCTTAAAAAACTTTCTTGAAATCCACAGCACTTCATTTTACCTTATTATTTTCTTACTTCCGATTATTCGTCCTTACTAATTGTTTAACATAAATATTGGTGACAAGCACTTTTTCTTTTTGCGAAAGAATAGCTGAAAATTGAAATTTCTACCAAAAACAGTCGGAGCTTAGTAATTAGAGTAAATAGTTTTACAATTATTGATTGAGAATTTTTTTTCGGCTATCTCGCCGTAGCAAACATAAAATTATATTTGGCAAAAAGATTGACTTCTAAATTAATTAGTCGCAATTTGAAAATTTCGTATTTTCTTCAATTACAGAATCTTTTTTTCTTATAAAATGAAGCAACTCTTTTTCATGCATATTATTATCGGTGTTTGAAAGTGACGACGAGTGGGAAGTATTAAAAAAATATACTTAGTAACATCATCCTGAATTTTTAATTCAAGCATGATATCAAAATTCCATCATTTAAAGGAGGAAAAAGAGCGAGGTTGCCCCAATCAAATTATCATTAAGTAGTAAGCCCAATACTACTAAAAATGATTGTGACAATGATCAAAGCAAGTATATTTGATAAACGAGCTCAAAAAATCGAGAGCAGGAAGCATCTCAGAATTCATAAATTCTAAAATTTCAAATAGAAATTAACTCAACTTGATTTCTGCATAATATGAATAGCTCCAGGTACAATTTTATTTGTCAAGAACCCTATAAAATTAGGCTACATTTGAGCTAAGATAAGCCAAGTAACTGATCTGACTTTTCTGTGTTTTAATGATGACTGTTTTGTGAAAACATTATCAATAAAAAAGAAAGGTAGTTTTTCGAAAAAAGATGTAAAAAAATTTTTCTTCCTGTTTTTCTTCTCCATAAATTTTTAATTATGTTCTGAAAAAGTTCATTTAATAAAGCATTGGGATAGGCGATTTACAAAAGAGATGCATAGTAATATTTCATTACTGAAATTTCAATAAGGGTCATTTTTAATCGATCTTTTTCTTAACTTTCGAAAATTTTTAAATTCATTGAACTTTCAGCGAATTGTCTGAATGTTAGTTAATAGCAAACTTGTATTTCGTGATAAACAGAAGTAGTCACAAACAAAGATTATGATATCAAAAGTTTTTGTAAAAATGGAAAATTAAACTTCAATGGAATTCGAGGAAATGGAGTGAGTCCATTAAACATCGATTTATTTAATCTGTTTGTTCAATTTGCAGATTGTTTTTGTTTAAAATTTATCTCTCTTTATACTGCGACTAATTTAATCTAACCTACTAATGAGAAGAAGCATATGGAGGTCAGAAGATTCGAATATATTGATAAATTTGAGGCAAATTAAATTTGATGTTTGATGGCTAGCAGCTTCTTTAAGTCTTGTGCATTGCGTCATTTGTCCAATTTCGATAGTTTATGTTTTCAAAAAGGAATTTCATTCCTTTTTGAAAATAATAGCTCAATCCCTGAAAACAAATAGACGAGAAAAGTTATTGAATAGTTATTGTGCACTTAAATTCAATGATTGACGAAATTTGTTTTTGAATCCGTGAATGTGATAGTATTTGGTTGGGAGAGTATAAGCACTGCTGCTGCAAAATGATCAAAATAAATGAAAAGATGAATGGAAAAAGTGATTCGTTACGAATGCAAAGCTTTTCCTTTTCAGTACTGCTATAATCAACAACGAAAGTAGCAACTGCCAGCCGTTAAGTAATGAAATGGCAAAGTTCGGGGTGAGTACGTTTCTCTTCCCTTCAATTGACCTTCCTTTCCTTTGCGTGTGAGAAGGAGAAGGAGAATGTCTCGGTTAGTTAGACGCACTGTGTATTAATTAAAAGTGTCGCTAGATTTAATCCAGTGAAAAGATAGATCCACATTCTCGCAGTTTTTAATTGTGCGATAGAAATATTTCAACAAAGTAGATCCAAAAAGAACCAACATTTTAAATTCCTGTTTTATGCAGAAGAGATTAAATTAAATCAGATATATGTAAAAAAACAGATCAAATTTAACCACAAAAAAATTGAATTAAACTGCACAACATATATAAACAAATATAGATTTCACTTGTTTATGAAACGAAATTTTGTTGTTAAGAAATTTCGAAAGTTATACATAGTGCTAACGGCATAGACGAAATTTAAGTTAATTTAAGCTTTAAACATTACCTATCATAGGACAGAAATAACTTGGATAATATATCATCACCTCATTGAAATAAAAGAAAAGAAAAGCTGTAGGGAGTATTCCATTCGCACAATAAATATTTCCATGATACTAATTTTATTTTACATTTGCTCAAGAAATGTCTGAAATTTATATAATAGCACGTCAGAAAGAATGCTTCAGTTTTTTAGTTCCGGATGGCAAACAGTATTCCGAAATTATTCACTGATCAAAGGTCAAAACAAACATTCTGTACTTGTAGTTTTTCTGAATTATAAAACCACTTCCGGCTAATTACACTCCAACCGTCCAATAATACCAGGAAAAAGATCACCGATTTTCCTGATAATATTACATATTACTAATATATCAGTAAACATTACAATGCTTAAAATTGATACGCAATCTGAAAATATGCTCAAAAAATTTTCCTTAAACGTAAAATGACTTTATTCACGCGTAAATTGAAATGTCCTCGTCCTTTGAAGAATAGAGAAAACAATCGGATACATTGTCTCAAAAGAAATTTCGACAGTCCGACAGGCCTCTTTTTAGCATTTCTGATATTGGAAGGGAAAATAAGTGAAAGAGTTTGCTATTAAATTGATCATTTCAGTGAAAATGGTTATGAAGACATTGCAATTCAAAAATTCAAAAATTGAACTCTCAAACAAACTAGCTATTCCGTTTCAAAATATCTATCAATGTTTACTTTTATTAACAATTTGAAATACTTAATAAATAATATCTACAAATCCATAAACAAAAATTTTAATTTCAAGAAAACTTTTTTGATTAAATTCCAAAAAAAAGTTCAAAAAGATTAGTTAGCATATTTTTAACACGAAAATAGTATTAAAATAAGCCATACTTGCAAAATTTAATATTTTTTGAAGTTTTAAAAGCTAAAATCATTTTGAAGTTTGAAAAAAAAACGAAAAAACATTGCTTCATTAACGGGTATTAGATTAATTTTCAGGTCAATTTTGGTTTTATCAAAAAATTTTAATTTTACATATTTACGTTATGATAATTAGATGATGATTTAATAATAATTCATTGTCTAATTATTCCTACACCTCAGTGTGGCAATATTTCTTATTTCCAAATATGCCATTTTTTCCGCAACAATATTTTCTTAAAATTCCTTGAAGTAGGATCATCTAATTCATATTTCATTGGGTTCATTGGGAAAGGATGCTTAGAAATCAAATAACTCATTTTTTAATAATAAACTCTTATAACATTTAAGCATTTTTTATTAACATTGAAAAAGTCAAAGCCAATCCGCACAGTGCACTCTTTCCATTGGTATTACTTTTTAAATTATTCCAATGCAAAAAGTAATACCAATCGAAGGAGTGCATCGTGCAAAATTAAAGCGGAATTTTGAAATTAAAAAGTGTTATCGGTCTGTGTGGAATAAAAATTTACATGTTTATTCCACCCAAATATTATTTACTTGATTGTTCAGAGGAAAAAATTCCTTTTTTTGTTGAATTTCAAATGAGTGGAAATTAGCCATTAACAATAATTGGATGAGAGGAATT